CATTCCCAGCATGATACAGTCTGACCATTTCCATTGACGTCAGGTACAATAAATTGGAATTAAAAAAACCTGCATAAGTATTTGCTGGAGTACTAAGCAGTCGGCACTATCATGGCGCTTCTCCTGGGATAGCAGAGCTACAAGTCCCTTCCATAACGCCTAAAACTGAACTCAGCTTTTTGGTGCCAAATCTGTTTCACAAAATATGGTAGCTTACTGTTGTCTGTACCGCCTTAAATCTCTGGGTCAGTTATTTATTGCAGCAAATCTCCGTAATGTCAGCTCTATTTAACATTATTTCTGACAGCATCTAAGACTCAGTGGTCTTTGGTACGCTGCTTAGGTATTGTAAAATCCCTGTGATTTTTTAAAACTCGCTATTGCTTTATAATATATTTTGAAGTGGGTTTTACCTGTGTTTTTCAGATATTATAATGATACCTACTTGCTATCTGTCTAGATAGTTCACTGTTACAGGCTTAGTTTCGAAAAGAATTTTTAAAAACCCAACAAGGATAGGCTCTGGGATGCTGCTGCCATAATATGGCATTGCCTCAACAGCTCACAAAAGCATCTTGTTCCACCTGAAAGAAACAGGCAAGGTAGTGCTTACAGAAAATGATGTCTTAGTAGCTACATTTTTTTCCCCCACAGAACTGTGTATTTTTTCAGCCACCTTAAAAGGGCCACTGTAATAAATTGATTGAGGTTGAAAGCTTGTCCAGTTTCACTAAAACTTCTGTAAGTGATTCTGTTCTGTCTTAAAATGTTGGTTATTACTTCCAGCTCTTCTATATATTCCTCTCTGAATTTCAGGAAAAGCCGTAGTCTGTGTTCCTGAAGCAAGAGGTGGGGACGCTTGGTAGCATTCCAAGGGAAATTGATGATGTTTCTGCAAACTTTCAATTTACTATTCAGAAAAGTGAAATTAAATTAAATGAAATATTTTGTTCTGGAGCAGATTAACAAAAAAAATCCTCAGACTATTTTGCTGAGATGGCTTGAAGCATCTACTGAAACCATTGCTTAGTTAAAACATTGGAAAGACAAAAAATTTGACTCAGATTGAATCAAAAAAATGGGAAAAGGACAAAAAATTCAGGTGACCCACAGAGTTTTGTTAGACCCAGAGTGAAACATTTCTTTTCCTTCTCAGGTCTTGTAACCATTTCCAATAAGACTTTTAATTTGTATCAATTCCTAAGGGAAAAATATTATTTTAAAATAAGTTGGTTTTTAAAATGTGCCAAAAAAAATTTGCAGTATTTCTCAACTGAAACATCTTAGTCCAAATTTGTTTAATTTGCATTTTTTCCCTGTTTTCTCCAATCTATTCTCCAAATTCCCTTGTTTTTTTGTTTTGCTTTTGAGGCTGGGATTTTCTGTATATGTCCTGAAATTACATTTTTTAGCAACTCCTTTGTTTGTTTGTTTGCCGCCTTCTTTGTTTGAGCAATTCAGAATCTGTCAGATCTTGGTAGATCAAGCAAAGTCTCATCTAGCAGGGGGAGAAAATGCCATTCAAGTAAAAACTAGACTAGGATGTGTTCCACAGTTTTAGTAATAAAGCCTTATTTTTCCAAGAGCTCTTTGAGATATTTATCTGTCTGTATATGCCTGAACTATTTCCTCAGGATAAGGAAAATAGGGGTGTTCTGTGGCCGATCATAATTTGTTTAATAGTCATGAGACATTTGGGTTGCCACTTTTCTCTTCTTGTTTATTTGCTGCCAAGCTTTCCCTTTGTTTTTCTCAGGTAGCTTAGGGCAGGAAAATGCTGCACTCATCAGAAGATGAGAAGTCCCGCTGCCTGGGGCCAGATGTTCATAAAATATTCCTTTGATTTTTTTTTTTTTTTTTGCTCCAGTCTCTTCCTCCCCCAGCGCAGCAACTGAGAGTCAGTCCCTGTTCCCTTTATGTTCAGCTGTATGTCATCTTGAATTTAGTCTGAGATTTCGGTCACTTTGACTCTGAGGGAAGGGATTCCTGAGGCACATATTTCCCTCTCTTTATTTCAGACACTTTGCACAGATTGGAGTTAGTTCATTTGTTACGTTTGCCTTTGGTAAAACTCAAATGTTGTGTTCTGAAGAAAAGGTAATTTTTCCTCTGCATGAACTATTTAAAAGTTCCCAACACATGCTTTTGCTTTGCTTTTGCACTAAGTAATACTAATTAGGTGAATAGTATTAAATTCTCTTCTTAGTAGAAATCTCTTTTCTCACTAATACTAGTGAGTAAATATTTAAACTTGCTATAAATATTCTCCAGTAGTTATTTTTACGGCAGCAGTAAATTAGAATTCCACAGTCCGCGAAGCCCTGAACAGAGGCTGTACAAAGGTATTAAACCCAAGCCTGTAGGTGAATTAAAATAGAAGTCACATCAAAATTAGACCTGACGATGGAACATTAAAAGCTTGTGAATATTTTCAGTAGCCATGATTGCATCATAATTCAATATATCCTTTCTCACATATATTCCAGTTTTTTCACCCATCTACCTCTTTTACTCTCAGCTGCTACCATGATAGCCCCTCAGGACAGCATAATCTCTTTAGCTGCGATGCCATAGTCTGTTGCTAGTGTAAGAATGGAAGACAAAAAAATTGGAAATACATACGTGCACATAGTAAAACATTTCCCCTTTTCCTTCTCAGACTAGAGGCTTAAAGAAATTAAGAAAATTCGTTTTATTGTCTATAAATTGTAAAAACTATTACATTACAGTTAACTGAATCTTACAATTATTCTTTATTTTTCTTAATAAAGAATCTTCTCAGTTGTATCTCACTATTGAAACAAAGCTGACAGTTCTTGCCAGCTGGAAAAAATCCACTGCCAAAGAGGAGCTTATCCCACCTAGTTTTCTGCTGCAGCCCAAGGAATCTGCTTCATATTGATCTAGAATTTCAGGCAATACACAGTGGCTCTCTTAGAAGCTAATGCACGCACATTACACACTCCAAATAGGCTTTGGTTGTGCTGGAGAGAAGACAAACACACTGGCAGAAATAAGTTGTAGCATGTTGTGACAATACGTCCCTTTCCAATCCAACAGCTGGAAGCGGAAAGGTTGACTGAAGATGAAAGGGGATCCCTCCAGTACAGGTTCCAGCATCCTTGGGAACCAGATGGACTGAAATGGAAAGCAGAACTAAAATAGGCCACAAAATTCACTGCCAAAAGAGGTTTTCTTTTTATTCGTGGCAATGCCAGGTTTTACTAGAAAGAAATTTGCCATGTTGTAAAAACTGAGGATAGGAAAGAACTGGAACGGCCTTTGTTCTCTCTGAACCAGTGCAGGACTGTTCCAGGTGTATTTTCTCGTCTTTGTGTAGTCTGATTTTTAAAGACTCACGAAATAAAGCAATTTTATCTGCCATTTTTAGGTTATTTCACCACAACACTTGTAGAATTTTTCTTAAGTATTCAGGCTACATTTCCTTTCTTATTCTCATTACTTTTAATTTCATCATCTCAGACTCCCTCAGGCATCTTTTCCCAATGCCTGCTTTTTGCCATTTCGTATTCTTCTGTGTAACTGTTAACATTTCTCTACAGTTGCCATGATATTTTTTGTAAGACCTCTTGTTTAATGTCACTTGTAGATGTCATTACTATTCTCTTCACTTCCCCCTTCCGCTAATGAAGATGTGAAACAACACAGACCCTCCTTGCTCTAACCAGGTGCTTCCTGTCAACCTGCGAGGCTGCTCTTTATCGGTACTTTTCCTTTATGGTCCTTCAGTTTGCATTCATTCCCCATGGCAGTGCTCTTATCTAAGTCTTTCCAAATTAATTTTTCAAGTAAAATTATCTGAGACACTGGAGGAAAGGTTTTGCTGATGCTTCAATCCAGCTTCATTGCTTCTGCTGTTTTCCCTTTGTCTACAGTAGGGATTTAGTCCAGACAAAAAGCAACTGAGGAATAACAATGCACGTTGAGATTTCTCTTTTCCCCCTTCGAGTGTAACTTTCTGATCTGAGGATCCTGCTCTATGAACACTTGCTGCCTCAATGGCGAGCACTGTCAAAGGCTAGGTTGTAACTAGCATGGATAATCTGTAACTCGGAAAAGTTTCAAGGATTGCAATCATCAGACATGTCAGGTGATTAACTTCTTACTAAATGGAGTAAGGGCTGCAATTTATGTATTGCATCCTATGCAGTAAGTATTAAGGACCAGATTTCACCCCACACACACTAGGTAAAATGTTTTATATGAGTGACAAAATTCTCTTTGTCGCAGCATAATCTTTATTTCAGGCCAGATAGAAGTTAATTTAGGCCATGGGAATTTGGAAGAAGCGGATCTCTGTTCAGTGTGAAGATGGCAGAAATTGAGTCATACTGGATAAATCAGGATTGTCTCTACCCTTTCCCTAGTAGACAGTGACTTGACAGAATATCCTCTTGGAGCCTGTAGTTTTTCAGAATAAGGAGTGAGGAGGGTCACTTCTGAGTGTTAAGACATTCCTTCTTTCTTTCTTGTAGGATATTGTCTAACTCTCTTTGGAATGATAATGACTTTTGGATAGAGTTAACCTCCATCATGTGAATCACCTGTATTGGTTCATTTTGTAATGAATAATCCCAATGCTAATCATGTCATAATGGAATCAAGCTTTATCAGTTAAGGAGAGTACTAGAAATACAACATCCTTCTTTTGCTTCCCCTCTTCCCAGTTTCACTCCTCTCTGGCTACTTTAGCCTTCTTGCAAGCCTGTATAACCTAGCATTTGTCTGTATGCCATCTCTTCATTTCTTCTCTGCAGCCTCAGGGGTTCAGGAAAACTGTCTCTCAGTGTCATCTTGAAACCTGAAGCTTTTTTTAGTCAACCTCCTGTGTTAGCACAGGGTAAGGACTGTAGTTTCCACTGGTAGATCTCAGCTCGGGTCCTTGTTTTAACTGCTGAGTCAGCACATAGACAGGATGGACCTTGACTGGCATGTGACATCATGGCTTCTCTTGTTCTCTACGCTATGTTTTCCTTCAGGAGTTATCTTGCTGCTTCTCGATAAGTTACGGAAGATGAAATGGGAGCAGATGTGGAGACTCACAGCAGAGCGGGAGTTAATGAGCATGCTGTCCACTTCACTGGCTGACCAGGTGAGTAGGACGTTGCAGATGAGTGGTACAACCACTACTCCATGGATTGAGGAAGGTAAGAAAGGGAAAGGGGATGAGAAGTGAGAAAAACAGGGGAAAGATGTGCCTATAGTCACCATTTGTTGAATCATTCTGGGGAAAATGTGGAAGAGAGGAATGGAGATGTACTCATGAGGTTTCTGTTACTACACTGACATTTTTACCTCCTCTGCACAGATGATTCATAAGATAGACAAATGGGGTTTTCAAGCTTTAATTTTCTGTCCTCCTTTCTTTAACATAAAACTCCCCAGACACTAGAAGTCCAAATATACTGTGTCTTTTCCTACTGGTTATTGCCTAAGCATACTTTAGTTTTAAGAATCTCCAGATATTTCTTTACTGTTTCTGGGAGATGAGTCCCAGCAGTCTTTTAATGCACTCCTTGCCACAACACCCCTGTGAAGACAAAAGCGCTGCTGTTTCCCTGCCACAGATGGGAAACTGAGGACAAGAGAAGAAATAGTGTGCCTATACACATGAAATGCATACTCTCTTTGTGCTTCCAGCCAGCTCTCAGTTTTAAATCCAGAAACCCTGTTAATGTAGTACTGGACCTGAACCAATAAGTCTTGCTCAACAGGTTGAGTGTATTAACTCAACACAGCATCATATTTAGATATTTCTACTGCTTCTGAGCTACATCTGGCTTATGACCAGTCACCACTATGGAAGCATGCTGCTCACTGTGCACAGAGATGTGCACTTCTGTACAGTATCCTTCCAGGTTGATCCAAAAGCTACTGAAGTTCATTAAAATGATTCTTGCAATTTCACTGTGTTTTCAGTCAGGTCCTGAGTTGCTGTCTAACACCTGCATGGGGCAGAATTTTGCAGAGTGGACCAAAGTTGCTTATGTCTTACCCTAATACCTTAACCACAAGACTCTCCTTGTAACTTACTTCTCCAACTGGATGGCTGCATAAAGGCAGAACACATTCTGTCCCTCATGGTGTAGGCTGTTCTGCAGATCTGTCCAACGTGCCCTTTCCGTGAAAAACCTAGAATACTTGTTGCAACAATAAAGTACTAGCTAAAAGCCCATGTAGTAATTCGCCTTGAAGCAGTGCAACTGCCAAGAACACTTTCATCCCCTTTATTGAAAAGTGATGCAGTACTTACTAACAGCAGGCAGTTTGTCATTTACTGCATATTACTCTTCCTGGTGACTGGAAGAGGAACCACATCTCTTAGCAGCAGTACAAGATACATATTTGGAAAACTTCGCTGGAGTCCATTAGCTCTGTTTGTCAAGAGAACCTGTTCCTCTTGTTCAGATCTACCCATCACCCCTTAGATTGATAGCACCGTCTATGGAAACAGAATTACGAAGCAAGGTTTGCAGAGTTCAGCTCACAAAACCATTTGAATTTCTACCTGTGAGGGGGAGAAGGACAGTCAGCTCGGGGAGGGGTTGAGATCACCTCACTGTAGAAACAACACACCCAACTGTTTCTCTGGTTTTGTCTGCTAGGATATCTTCAATGCAGTCATCAAACAAAATCCCTTCCTTGTCTACCAGCTCCCATGTTTCTGGAATGTGCAGCTGTCTGATCACACCCGTTCCGAGCAGTGCTACAGAGATGTGTCTGACCTGAAGGTATGTTTCACAGGAGCCTGGATAGGTGATATCCTTTGGGACAGGGAGTGCAGGACTCCGCTGTGACAGAAAGATGAAGTCCCTTAAGTAAGGAGGAAGCTAACACATACAGTTTATGGGGACACCCAAGCAGGGCAAGCAAATACAACTTTAGCTTTGTGCATTTTGATGGCTAGAAAAGTCAAAGGTGGATGCTGCTTTGGGGTTTGGCAAGGTGTTAGAGAAGTGCTTCACCTTCTTACATTCTGTACCTGTCACCTATGCTACGGCACCTTACTGCTGAGTTCCTGTCGCTGTCCCAGTTCTTGGCTCTTCCTAGCCAAAGAATACAAAAACTTTTTTTTTTCATACTGGGCAAGTTTGAAGCTCTTTAGTCAACATCGTTTAATAGAGTGAAATTCACAAAGAGGATTGGGCGGACCCTGGCTAGAAATACATTAACCAAAGTTTAAAGACCTTGCACACTTCTTATTTAACCTTTGTGTACACTTAACCCAGCCACACTGCTCCTCATTTTTCCAGGATTTCCCCTGGGAAAAAAGGCTGAGTAGAAATCTATTAATTTAACAAAATGAAGCTATAGTATCAGCTTATTAGCACATTTTTCACTATTGTCAAGTAGAATATAAAAGCAGGATGGATTTGAACAGATATGTGTAAATTAACATCAGTTGCACTGTGATCATTTTGAAAGGCTGGACTCAAATGTAGCATGCAGAGAGTTCAGAACTGAACTGAGCTTCTACCAGGTGTAGAATAAGACTGACTGGCTAAACAGCAGTAGAGTCCATCAGAGCAGACTAGTGGCATCAGAACTCAGTAAATATTAAGTAGTTTTTGGCATTTCATTTTAAAATTCAGTCAAGGTTCATATACTTAATTTATGTATTGAGAATGCTTTAGTAAATGAGGGTTAAAAAAAAAAAGGAGGGGGACCTCTGGAGACCATCTAAACCCTAATCAAAGCAGGACCAACTTAGATCAGGTTGCTCAGCGCCTTGTGCAGTTGAGTGTCAAGTCTCTGAAGACTGAGATGCCACACCGTCCCTGGCCCCCTGTTCCAGCACTTGACCACCCTCATGGTGCAATATATTTCCTAAATCTCGCCAAATTTTCCCTCCTGACAATTTGTAGAGTAACAGCAGGAGTGTTCAATATGAACATCAGACACTGGATGAATATAGAAAATCAATCATCACCCTCGACACACTGATTTCAAAAGCTGTGTTTCCCAAAAGACAGAAGATCTACTACATGGGTTAACTGACCTGTCAAAGCTGGACAGTATTGGTTGAATTTCATTCATAAAGTATTCACAACCAGCTATTCAGGTGTGGTCCACAGAAGATAGCTTTTAAAGTTAGATCAGTATACTGGTCAGTACACTGATCACTAGATGTTTTATGATAGATGTTTGCAGGGCAGGATCAACACAGGGACTTAAAAGCACCATGGTTTTATGGCTTGTGACAAAGTGCTGGTAAAGATTTTAGTTCTGTGCTCATTTTGAGAATCATGTATGACAGCAGTTGCAAGGCCTGAAACAAAAGGAGAGATGTAGTAGCAGGGAAAATGTTTTATAAAAGATGAATTTCAGAAAAATACACCTCCTGCCTGGGAGATATCACAGTATTTTTCTGTGAATTAGAGGCTGATGTTAATTCATGTCGTCCACTGAGACGGTCAGATTGGAGTCAGCATAAGGTTAAGGCACTTACATTTACATGAGAAAAAGATATTGAAGCTAATAACTGAAGATCTAGGGCTTAGTTCAATTGCCTAAACACAGTTTGAGTCACCATAGATACTCTCAAATATCCATATGGGACTGGCAGATAGAACACAGACCTACAGGAGATGATACCCTTTTGGCAAGGCAGCTGATGGGCGGGCAGGATAACCCTGAGGTGCTTTCAGTGTTGCTGTACATCTGTATTTAGGCAGCTGAACTGTGATCCCTGTGAGTGGTTTTGGAGACTGGTTAAGTTCACCTCAGAGTAGACATCTGATGACTAATCAGGTAAATCACTCTTTAGGCTCCGATGACTGTGCTGGCTAATCTGCTTCAGGTATGGGACATCTAGCTCATATGTAACACCTACAAGTAAGCATTTAATAGAACTGTCTTAAAAATAAATTGAATCCTTTCTCCATTGTTGATTAACAAATTTATGTTTACAAGTATAACTTAGGCTTGGTTGTTTATTTCCATATGTTGTATCATGCCGTCAGTTCCATTACAGCATAGGAAATGTAGTCTAAGATGCATAATATCCTCCATTGGCTTTCTGGTCTGAAGTATTTAACTCAACAAGGGGTGCAGACACATAAGCAATTTCTTCAGCTGAACTGGACTTTTTCACACTACTAAAATCATCCCCTAAATACTGAATCAGGGCTGAAATTCTTTGCTTCGGAAGAGAGTCAAGAGCCTTATCTAGTTCACAAAAGCCCCCTGGTTTCAGTAAAGCTCTTCCCATATTCAGCAGTTAAAGAACTGGCCCTCAGGCAGCACTGTTAAAAATTCTTCATACAATTAAAAAAAAAAGCATAAACCAATTAAAGTTGTGAATTTACATTATGAAAATTAGCAAAATTCTGGATCTGAAAAGAAACAGGCTGGTTTTTTATGTAGTCCTCTCAAAAAAGCAACAAATGTAGTTAGCCCAAGTTAGAAAATATACTCTTAAAATCACCGAAGTTAGTCAGTTCCGTGGCATTTAATATAAATAGTATGACACAACATATTTGGCACATCCTGTGTTTCATGGTAAGACTGGAATAAGAAACGAGGTAAAAGAAACCTCCAGGGTAAGAGGGAGAGAAAGACAGATTGTGAAGTTTGTACTGAAGGATTAAGAAGGATAGTGTAGGAAAGAAGGAAATGCAGGGAGAGATTTAAATTCCAAGGTAAAGCTGGCCCAGTCAAGTATTCCTCACTAAATTCAGACCACATTCCTCATGTCAGACTGAAAAGGCACTGATTTAATTCCATCTGGCTTCAAAGTCCATGGGACACGAGGATTTGTCTTCTCTTACACACAACATTGTGTCAAATAAACTTAGACCCCCAGAGCTGGCTGCTGTTTTTTTTTTTGGGGGGGGGGGCGTGTGTATGTATATATATACACACTTCTTTGCTGCTTTGTTCACATTCATGCAAGCATAGGATGACCGACATACTTTTTTGCAGGCCTGTCAAGCACTTGAATATTTCGTATTGCCTGAAGAGGATTCTAATAATTTTTTCTCTTTATAGTCCTCATTAAGTTGCATCTCTATTGATTTTATTGTTTGGTTGGGGGTTTTTTTGTACTGTCTTATGTTAGAGAAGGTGAGATGTTTGATTACTGCTGAACACTAGTTCCTTGCTGCAGCTGAGTGGCATATGCAAATTTGGAAGGACTTGCATATGAGGATCTTTCAGAAAAGGCATAGGGAAATATTTATAACCAAGTTCTGCATTGTTAGTGACCACTAATTTTATATCCATCTAAAGCAACATCAAAATAAGACTACTTTATTATTTTTATTCATCTTAAATGCTTACTTACCTCCTGTGTCATACTATATAGTGCTAGAGGCCACACTGTACACAACTAGACTGAAGTCTGTGGGCTTTGTTTTGCTGTCTGTGGTGTATGGAACCAAAACTTATGTAAACAATTACCCTTACATAAATCTTCTTTTCCCCACTCTGAGGGCACCTGTATTAAGGATACTTTGCTTTAGTCAAGAGTTTCTTGAAATGAACAATTTTAATAGAAAACAAAGAGTGGGCTAAGAGGAAGCAGATGCCCTTGAATTTTTTTTTGCCAAGTGAGCCAACTGCAGTCTCTAAAGGCCAGAGGTGTTTATTTTTGCATGGCATTTGTTACCCCTTGGAGAAACACTCAGGAGTTGTTACTGAAGACTGGCCAAAGGATGTGGAAGTGCTAATAGTCATTCTGTGTAGGCATCCAGTGTCTATCTTGCTTATCTCAGCTCCTCACATGGTCCCCAGTAGCCCACGATGTCAATAGACAAGCATGTGTGCTGTAGGACCATGACTTGCTGGGCTTCAAAGCCTGCGGGGATCTGCCTGGAACTGAGGCTCATTTATGCATTACTTTTGCTGGGTTGGGCCCTGTATTTGCTTTCCTTTTTGGTTAATAGTTTGTTCCTGTCTGTAAGGAAATCTCAATTACTATGACTTGGCACAAACCAAATGGCAAGAAAAATCCTGTGAAAGAAGGTAATGAATTGTGATGCCTCTGACAATGAATCATGACCTCATTGAATGAGTCAGTCACGAAGAGAAGTCTGGTTGTCAAGGGTACGGATGCTATTTACACACAGAGAATCTGGTAATTTACAATCGCAAAAATCAGATGCTGGACTCTTCAGTGGGAATGTATCAAATTATTAGAATTTACCCCCCCACTCCAAAATAGGAAAATACTTTAAAACCTGTTGATGACTTCTTCAAACTGGTTTTGAGCACAGCTGGTTCTAAATTAGCAGGTAGATAAATAATCAACCTCATATATTCCCCATTCTGAAATTGTGTTATGTGGTTCATTATGTCCTCCCTGGGAGTGTCCTCCACACCAGGACAACTTTGTGAGATCCCTTACAGAAGCTGAAACAGCTTCTTCTCCATAACCCCAATACATCATTCTAGATCTTCCTCGAACGTGACCTATTGTACCTCTTTCTATCCCAGTCCCTGAGCCACCCCAAGACGTCCAAGCACCTCAGCACTGATCTGCATCAATTCTGACATTCTGCTACCTTGCACCTTTTAATGCCAACCAAGGAAGAGCTACACTGAGACGAGTAAGGGCTCAAGAGGGCTAAACATACCCCTCCCTTGAATGAACATCAGAGTCAGTAAGGTGCTTCAGCTCTGCCAAAAAGGGAGCACTGTGGTATTCTAGAGCTGGGTTTAGGGGTGTTTTAGCAGGCAGGAGGCCTCTCATTAGGTATTGGTACTGGAGTTGAACGGAGAGCTGCAAATCCTTTTAAGGAAAAGTTGAGAACTTTGAAAAGTGTAAGACAGGAACAGCCTGTCAGCTTACTGCCATACAGCATAGGCAGTAAGCTGGGGAGTAAAGTAATCCCTGGGGCCATGGGCACCAAATCAGGCAGGGCAGGGATTTGAATCCCACATCCTAAAGCAGTGCCTCGATGTCTGGGTTGCTGGCTACTCCAGCACAAGCCTCTTCCACTTATGTAGTTCAGAAATACCACTCTGAAACCTCCCTGATGACATTTTTGTGAAGTATTTGATCCTTTCTGAGGAAATTGGTTCTTTTATTACACCATTCATTTCTGATAAAATGCAGTGTAAAAATAAAATTTCCAGACATCTCTAATCGAGGCATAAGTTACACATACAGTGCTTGTTTGCAGTGTGACTTGGGGCATATTTAAACTTTTCAATAATATGTGCTTGAAAAAAAGCCTATTGAGATGGCTTTTAAGTGGCTGAACATTTAACTCCCGTTGATTTCAGAGGCAACTGTCTGGTTGCCTAAACAAGCAGTCTAGTTTTTAAGCAGGAAAGCTCCCCATCTACAAAATACCACTTACTTACCTAAATTGTGAAGTGCTCATGGGCTTAATTAAGAATATGTGTTCAGTGCTTTGCAAAATTAAACTTCTTTAGGCTTAAATTTAAGCTGAATTTATTGTTACTTATTACCCCTTCAGCCTGGAAAGTATGTGTATAGGTATATGGGATATCCTGTATTCTCTGATTTCGTCAGGGCAGAAGCAGAGCGAGACATCATCAAGATGTGTCTTTGGGTAAAAAATGGAAGAGAAGTGGTTAAGAAAATGTTTGACCAAATACTTCTTTTGGAGAGAGAAGATACTTCAGGGGAAAAATGCATAAAGGTGTACCTATAGAAATAATGTTGTGTCAAAGCTTATCGTTCAGTGGTTCAAACATCAGATTCGAAGTATTTAATCTCCCCAGAGAGGACAATGCAGCTGGTAACCTAAGGAGGTTTGCTGGGATTTTTATTCTCAATGTATTTCCATGCAGATAACTGACCTTAGAGCCCTCTCCTACACTCCACCAGCTTATAACACCCTCTGTTACCTTCCATCTCAGCTCCCATTGCCAGTCTACAAGGCTCCAACTGTGTCATCATTTGAGAGCTTTGGGTCAGAACCTGGTGAATAAATGGGGCCTATTGGCACAGTTAGCCTGTTTCACTAGGTCACAAGTGTATGGAAGTATTCCAGGAGGCTGGCTGAGCGTAATCAGTCAGTGGTAACGGTTGCTGATTAACTAGGATGGTATTAACAGAAATTTAGAGAGTGCCAAGTTGCTTAATGACAACTAACCAAGTGTTAAACAGATGTGGAATTTTAAGTTCTGATCTTTCAGTACTTAAATTACTAAATGAAGATTAAGGAGTGTATTTTTCTTAGTTCTCAGGAGGCTTTGATCAAGAGTGGGAAGGATTCATGGAACAGTCTGAAGGCTAGCACTGTTCCTGAGGTGTCCATCCAGATAATGGCACTGGAATTTTATATGTTCTAGCTGCAGTTTCTTCTGTAAGCCAACAGAGCTTTGGAATAGCTTCGAAACTAGGAGGGAAAACGGAAGAAGAAATAAACACAGTATTATGATGCTATTCAGTCTTGGAAAGGGGATATTGTAGTAATGAGATTTTTAGTTTCTAGATTCAATTTCTCTTTTTAATGTTGAGGTAACACTTGCTCAATCTTCAAATAAAGTGGATTCTGACTTTTTTTATTTTTCTTCTGATTTCCCTGTAGTCTCTTTCCAACTGACTTTTTTTTTTTCTCCAATCAATTCACTGTTGCCAACATAATGGCGATAGCTTCACCTGTGCAGCCCGTTGTCTGTATCATGTACCTCACTGATGCCCATGACAGGCTGTGCAAGGATGTCTTGGGCTGTACAACTTCTGCTGTAGCTGATTGGTGCAGTAGACCAAATCAGACAGCTACAGTCAGACCTGAAGGTGAATTTGTGGGCTGACAGCAAAAAAAAAAAAGAGTATGGTCTTTGGATGTAGTGTTGTATGTCAGTGGTTAAGAGTCTTGCTGCTTTTTGAAACCTGCTGTTCTTCTTTATGCTTTCATATATCACATAATATTTATCTAATCATGTTACATTTGAAAAGCAGCCTGCTTTTTTGCTAGATCTGTTGTGTGGTTTTCCTACCTCAGGTCATCCAGATGGTTGCGTGGTTCCTTGATGTTCTTTAGCACATCATTTTTAGCACGCATTGACGTGTGCTGTCTTTCTTGATTAAAAAATGATCTTTTCTGGATAGTCATCAGCTCCTTTCAGCTTTCTTCAGTTCACTCCAGGCTCCCCTGACATCTGTACACATGCAGCATCCTGACACGTTTCAAATCTGATCAGATCTGAACCACCAGCTAGGCCCTTGACACTTACAAGCTTTTACACACACAACAGATTTTGAAGCACGGCAGCAAAGAGCTTCTACACTGACAACTGCAGTTGTCTGGCTTTGACGTCATCTCCCACACAACTGGGTAGAGGCATCAACACCAGTACTTGACTGTGATGTGACATAGTGTATGTTGATGGGAAATTCCTTCAGCACCGGGGAGCCTGTCCCGTAACAGCTACCGAGTTTATCATCATTAGCCATTTCTGTGCTCATGGTCCCCAGGGTGAGTGGTCAGAGTGCTCAGCAGGAGGATAGGATGCTCATGAAGACATCCAAAACAAAACTAGAAAACTCACATGAGGTGCAGGAATAGTATGGAGAACACACGGAAAGTTTTTCTTAGCAAGTATTTTTTGTGCCATTTGGCAGCTTCTCAGCTTTCTTTGATCCACACTTAAATAAGTGTAAGTTACCAGCAGACAGTTTCAGTTCTATGCCTGCTTGTAAAAATGCATACTAGTACCCTGTAAAACTGTTAAGCAGCCCTTTAGGTTCCTTCAGCCCTATGCTTCTGTTAATGTGCCTGTTTCCCTGAGGTAGGATTCAATCGTTGAGATTTTTTTGCATGCATTTAGTGCCCTTTGCTGCTGTTAAATGCAATGGATGAAATATGTCAAGTTCTTTTCAAAGAAAGGGGATTTTGAAGATCCATTTTTCAGTGGAGGAAATCTGTCATCTTACGTCCTTCTGTTTCTCTGGTGTTCTGTATTTTAAGCACACGTTGCAGCTACATACTGTTGCACAGTTAAGCTACACTCCTGAACATATAGACAAATGTAAAACCAGCAAAGAACATAGCATTACCTGGCAAAAATATCTACACCAAGTATTTTTGTCCAAATAATTTCCCAGATTTATACAGTGTGTAAATGCATCATGATCTTGATTTAAAGTGTTTCTATAACTGGAAAAAGTGATTTGCCAATTTCTGAAATGATCTTTTTTCCTTGCAGTTGCTTTTCTGTAACTGTATGTCTGGTTTTCTGACGTTCTAATAGCCTCAGCAGTGAAATCCCAGGAAGGGATAAAGCTTTCCCCGTCAGGAGATATTTTTATTGGTGTTGGGTATGTAGAAGAAAGTGCCATAGCTTTTATGGCAGTATAAATACTCAGTGGAGAGACTATGTTGTTTGCTGAAGTTAGTACAGGAAGAATTCAGGCTACGTCCTGCTCTTTCCTCCTCCAGTCCACTCATTCAGCAACAGATAGGATGATTTCAGAGGGCTCCCTGTGCCTGTGGAGTTGTGTTGCTGATACCAAGGGAACTGCGTTCATCTGCCCTGGACTGCCTCCGTTCCACGTCCTGCACTTCAGTTGTGCGCGTTCCCTCCCACAAATGCAATGTTCAGAGCAAAGCTTACTGCGAGATCGGCTCGGCAGCTGGCATTGCAGCTCTGTGGCTGTGTGTGAGTGACACGATGCCTTCACGCAATTAACTTAATGGATTCAGAGAACCTCCAGAACTCCTAGCTTGGAAATATTCCCAAGGGAGACTTATTTTTTTAATCTCTTTAGAAGTCACGGGAATAAAACTGAATACAAAGCATTTGGTAGTTTTTTTCTTCTGCCTAAAATATAGCCTCTATAAAATGAAATCATTCCTGCAAGCCACTTTTGGCTCCCTCTTAGTTTTTCCTTAGGGCCCCATTCTCGTTCACACTGGCAGCAGTGCAAAGTTGCCTTGATGTAAATGAGAATCAGGCCCTTTATGTCAGCATTAGAGTTAAATCTAGGCCAGTGTGAGAGTCAGCTCCCATTAGCAGAGGCTAACTACCCGCTGGAAATTGGAATTCAAAGGGTGAAGCATTGTACTGCATCACTGTGTTGGGTAACGCAACTCAGATCAGTCTTGTTTAAATGAAGCAATGGCAGAAAGGAAGTCAGATTAAATTCAGTCCTTTTTGAAGGGTGTAAATGGGTATAGGATTTAATTTCAAGCTCTTTTTTCTCAATATCTAACCAAAGAAAAGTCTGCCTGCCCTGAAACAGTGAATCAATTTCATTAGCTCAAACAGTCATGTGGAAAGTTGAGATTAATGTTTAATACCTACATACCTGTGTCCCTCATCCTTTCACCTTCTTCAACAGAGTCCATAACCTGTCAGCTCCATAATTAGAGCTGTGGCTGCATCACAAGCTAGAGCAGCACCCTAACTCCAAAGTACAGGTAATCCTATGGAGGAGTTTCAAAGCGCATCACCTGTAGAGTGTGCAGTTACTTGTGAAAGATATGGCAAAGCTTTCCTGATAAAAAGACAGAAGGAAGTATGTGTAGTTTTGGGGTTGCTTTTTTTGTTTTTAAGAGGATAGCGAACTGAGCACACATAAAAGCAGCAGATAAAGCAAATCTGTATTCTAACAGCAGGATGTGTTTTCTCTTTTTTTCCCTCTGAGGTGATTCATTGGAACTCACCAAAGAAGCTGCGAGTGAAAAACAAGCACGTGGAGTTTTTCCGCAATCTCTACCTGACATTCCTGGAATATGATGGGAATTTGCTGAGACGGGAACTCTTTGGCTGTCCCAGTGAGGCAGACGTTAACAGTGAAAATGTAAGTGGGATGTCTAGGGCTTGATGATTTAAAGGGTGGTTCATACAAGGCACAGGCTACGTGAAGACTCAGAGAGTTGGTGGTGCGGGTAGTGCGGTGCAGAGGAACTTGGGAGAATTGAGGTCAGATTCCAGGAGTGACGCTTGCAAATTATTTAATCTCTCTGTGCCTCAGTTCCTTGCTTGTAAAACTGTTGTGTTAATCCTGCCTTTCCCCTGTTTTTTGTCACTTTTTTGGGTCTACTTTGCTTTATAAAAGTCCTCAACAAAAGTGACATCACAAACTAAAAGTGAGGATTTGGCCTCTTAATTCCATTAGGCAATTTTGCACATCTCATCCTTAGACCATTTATGTGTATCTGCATAAAATTTGCAATCAGAACCTTTCAGATGAAGCAAATCCTTTGAAAATGGTTGAAATCAAGGATGTTTACATACAGATGTCCTTATGTGTGTGTATGCCTTAGTACATATGATTCCAATGTAAAAAACTGTTAACTGAAACGTTTGTACACAGATGCACATGAACTCTTTATGTATAATGTGGTCTCTGGAGATTTCTAGACCAAGTACCAATTATGGCTGTGTAGTCTGAAAGGAAATAAAAAGGAACCTGTAACATTTTATGTTATCTTCAAGAAAAAAAACATTTCTAAAATATACAGCATCTCTATATAAAAATCAATAAAGCAAAGCCAGTATCATGTACACATTAGCAGTTAAGAGGTAACTGGCAATCAATAGCATCATTGAGGCTTGTAGTGTTTCCGTTTAGTCTGTGGATAAAATGACCACAGGAGATGCCATTCCCAATTTTTTAACTGTAGCACTCGGAGATTGGATAGATATATTTTAGCCCAAGGCACGGCTTCCCAGATACTTATTTGACCATCCCACTGTCTTCTGAAAGGAGTGGGGAACGATGAGAAACTGGAGGTAAGTATTAACTGGGAGAGACTGAAACCAAGAGACATGAGAGATTGGGGGAGGCGGGGGGTGGGGAGAGAGAGCACAGTGAGAGCAAAAGCACATGGAGAAAGAAAATCCTCTGCAAGGGTGAGAGGCTTCTAGACAATCAAGTGAACTGAATGTGATAAAAGACCACTAACAGTCTGACCATCAGAGACATCAAGATACAATAGACAGAGTAGAGGGTAGGATAGGAAGAGAAAAGGGGAGTGAGACATTAAAAAAAAAAAAAACAAACAAAAAACACACAGATCAAAACACACTTTCATCACACCTTAAGAGTACAGGTTAAAATTATACTGAATTCATGATATGTTGTGTGGGTTTGCAGAGCATGAATGCAGTCACAGACTTGTTGCTATATTTTCCAGAGGTCTGTACATCCTTAATAAACAGATTTATTCCAGACGACAAGTTGCTGGGGAGCAGTGTACAGTGAATGCAAGTTCTTGCTGCTGAAAATGGCAGTCCTGAAAGTTTAAAATGGCTCATTTTACTGAACTTGTATCTAGTTGACAGACACTGGAAATGACTAACTGTTCAAGCCTGTTTCTTATTCAAGACAAGTAGAACACAATATGGTATATGGTATGGCTTATGTCTGAAAAAGAAATGTAACTCATTCTTCCATTTATAAATTAAAAAAAAAAAAAGAGAGAGATATACTGGAAAAGAATGAGCTAGACATACAAAAATACATGAGTCCTAACTTGCCAAGAGGCACCAAAAAGTTAACAGCCTTCTATCAAAACAATCTAACTTCAGATAGCTTAAGAGTAATCACTTAGGAGAAGACATTGGTTTTTATTAGTTACCCTTGACGTAAGCTCCCCCCCGTAACTTGACTATGTCATTTTTATTGTAGAATACAAAAAGCAAGTTTCAGCTTTGAAGTTAGGAGACCCTAAGAATAGGTTTATCATGAAAACCACTATTTCTCTCACTCTGTCTGCTGTAGCACATACAGTGTCACAGGTGTCCTGTTAAAATACAGTACATTCCCCTGATCTATTGCAGGTAATCTTCAGAAGCAGAGCATCTTGTAAAGTGAGCAGGGAACCACTGTTTGTCATTCTTCCCAGTACGAGAAGTAGGGGACATGAAGTGGAAATAGCAAGCAGCAGGTTTAAAACAAAGGTAGACATTTTACCCACGATGTAATGAAGCTTTAAGCAGGAGGTAATGTTGCTAAAAATATACATATGCTCAAAAGTGACTCTTCGTGGAAAGAAAATCAATCAGGAGCTGTTAAGCTTTGGTGTAGAAAGTCCCTGAACCACAAGTTCAGGACTAGGGGAAGGTTTTGAGGAAGCATCGCTGTACACTCACCCTGCTTTTACACTGCTCTCTAGACAGCCAGCTTACAGCTGGAGACTGGATGCTGGACTAGATGGACCTTTAGTCTGACAAGATCCAGCCGTACATTTCCATTAGGATTCCTAAGCATATATGTTACATAAAAGGCTATAATTTCTGCAAAGTCAAGTATGTATAAAGTAGGAATTGCTATTTGATTTATCTTAATACCTATTATTTTTCCTTTCTTCTCTGAATTGAGACTAGCAGCTCCAAAACACCATTGGGCTTTATTGTGCTAGGCATTGTGTATGGGTAAAAAGTGCTCCTTCAGCTGCCTGTGCTTTTCTACACTGTGAACCAGTGGACAAAATGTTAGAATAGGTCTGCTGGTTTTCTAATCAGAGACAATTACTTAAGGACTAAATGCAGACAGCCCTGTTGCGGGAGAAGCAGTGGCTTGGTGTGAGTGTCACTCACAGTTCGGCTGTATCAGAATCTACCCTTAAGGTCTTGTCCCAGTATGCCAGCCATTGCTTCTCTACAGTTTAATATTTGTAATGATGCTTTATTTAGAATGCAACCTGTAACTGAGGAATCTCATTTGTAATGCAAATATCTGTAAAACATGAAAAGGACGTGTGGCAGTGAGTGCCGTTGGGCTGGTTCTGTTACTCTAAAGCCCCTTCACATTTGTCATCAGTACTGAGATGGCCTTGAAATGAATGTAAATTATGTATCTTCCCTTTTTAGGGACTCTTTACAGTGCCAGAGAGATGTAAAGGGGCATTAGTTTAAAAGGTAATCAGACTTTACATTAATCTCTGTCACTCCTCCTCTGTGTATGTGTGCACATGCATGTATGCTTAAATATATACGTCTATATGCATGTGGAAGGATTAATACTTTTCTTTTTTTAATGTTTGCTAAGGAAGTATAATACCACAGACTGAATTTTAAGAGGTCTAAAGGCAGTCTTTGTATCTTATACTGCATAGTCCTAATCTCGTCAGTTGTTGATCTTCAGCTGCACCAAACAGCACTGTTATTAGGTTCCAGGACATTACAAATGGGAATCAACAGAGCACATGGGGCTCTGTAACTGAAATAGTGGAGGCAAAGAAATACAGGGTGGGGTAATTTTTCTGTTTATGTAAAAATGCTTATATATGTATCTATGTGTATGTACATGTTTCTTCCTTTCTGTGAAATATTCAAGCTGAAAGACCCTGTGTGTTGCAGGGGCAGGCTGTGGACAGGAGCCTGCCACATGCTCCTTGCCGTAGAGAGGTACTGTAAGTCCCCTTTATTCAATATGTGCTAAAATGAGATTACACAGAGCAGACTTTTCTCTGCGTATTGGTATTACAGTCACCCCTTTGCCTTTTGTGCAGATTCTGGATGGGAAATTCAGAATATGAACTAAATCCTGCTGTAAACACAGCCATTGATTCAAGTGGCCTTTGGAGCACATCCTTAGTCACTGTATCCTACTTATTTCATGCTCCTTCCCCCTTCTCACCCCTTCTTTCTTATTTTGATGCAATGCAGAAGATTTTAGTGAAAGCCACAAAGGTGAAGCTCACAGTAATCTCAAATATGAATGTTTCCTATTGGCTTTTAATGCTTATGTCCAGAATTTCATTCTAAAGGACCTACTGTAAAGCCTAAAATATTTCCCCAGAATCTTTTGTGTACCAATCTATCTCTATGGTTATGCTATGAGATAGATATTGTAAGCCTGATTTTAGCACACAGGCACACACTCAACCTTTTAGCATTCTCATAAAACTTCTTTCCTGCAGACAGCTTCTCACCAGGTACTTCTGCCAAAGCATTAAATCTGAAGGTTGAATTGGGTGTCCCCTATTAGTGGAGCCTGTGTGCTGATCCAAAGCCCAGAGCAAGATCAGTGGGAAGTTTATCACTGATTTCACTCAGTTTGAGAAAAGGACAGCAGATTCCCATTAGAGAAGACTTTCAGAAAATACACGAAAAAATTCTCTGCAGATTTTTATTTTCAGATTTTCAAATCAACAATACAAAGAAGCGGTGTAAAAAAATCTATTTCTCCCTGAAAACACTTGCTTAGGCATGTACTTACTTACTAAACATGTTTTTACTTGTTTACTTTTTTGTGCAAAACCAGAGATTCTTAATATTAGCGAATGGCTGTGCATGTCAGCTTGTAATAGCCACCAGAAGAGCAGGAAATTCTAGCAATATGTACCACATAGTATAAACTCTGCTAACAAATTTAACAATTTTTTAATGTCTAAAAATAGCATGCAAAGGGAGATTCCAAGTCAGTATCGGGGTGCTGAACTTGCAGTCAGACTGATACTCTGAGTACCCTTTGCTCCTGCAGAATTTCAGAATACTGCATCATTTGTAGAACTGGGATTTAAAGTTACTATTTTGTCATGACATAGTCTTTCTCTAGTGATAACAGATGGTATATGGCAGTTTTGAGATGAAATCCTGACTTTCCCAGCTGTGTTGTTTCTATTATTATAACTGTGTTTGTTATTAAATGCTGAGCTGGTAGCCCATCCTGTTAGTTGCCTGAAAGTTGCCATTATGCAACTTTCAACTCCTTATAATATTGCTAGATGGGGGATCATGTGGACTGGGATTATTTTTTTTTGGTCATGCTAGTATGCCTCTTTTTCTCTTTTCTCTCATTTTTTAAAGTGAAACATGGGGAAAAGCTTGGAGGGATTGCCCACACCACAAGTTCTGATGACCTCTTCATGGAAGTACTCCATATCTCAGAGAAGGAACTGACTTTTGGGCCAGGAACATGTCTTTTGTCAACCTGGTGAAAACTTAGGCAAATTATAACGCTGAAAAATCATGGTTTACACATTGTCAGTAGTGTTTTCTTTGACTTTAAGGAGGCTCAGATCTCTGGAGCCTTTCTTAGGAATGTGCATGGATACATCTGACCAGATTATATATAGCCCAGTGACACTGCAGAGTTGGGCATGCTGCAGGCAGGGGACCTGGACAAAGATTGGCATTTTCTGTGACAGTTTCTTCTGAATGCTCCATGCCAGGTTCTGACTGGACAGTAGAGCTGAGAGCAGGAACCTGTTTGGTCTCTGTTCTGAGGGACGTCCATTACCCTCACTGATGTCCAGACAGTATGGAGAAGAAGAAATCCAGATTCATGTGTGAAAGGGATGAAAGCTGGATCAAAGGCAGAAATGAAAGAGTTAATGTAGACATAGGTTCTAGAGAGAGGGAGTTAGGAGCAGGAAGAGGAAAGGACTGATGGGTACCTGTAGGTATAGGGAGTTGGCAGACTACTTGAATAGGGACCGTGGGACTAGAAACAGGGCTGGGACTGACTCAGACTGTGGAACTTGCCATGCAAGAAGGAACAGGGCCAGGAACAATCTGGGGAGACAAAAGCAAGGAGACCAACCTGTCAAGGCGCTGCTGCGAGGTCTGGGAACAGCTCAGCCAAGATTTGACAGGAACGTGGGGAAAGGAGATGGAAAGGACTACCAAGATCTGACATCTGCAGCTGAAATCAAGGGAAGTTGTACTTCCTATGTGCAGAACTGTCAAAGATGTTATGCATGCCTAAAGATTGGGATCTTAATTGTGTTGATTATTTGCAGTCAAGATAAGCTGTTACTTCCATTTAGCAAGAGTATTAGCTACTTTTTACATGCTGCAGTGAAATTCCTCTTGCTCGGTAGGCTTGCTCCGACACTATCCACTTTGTCCTTAGCACAGCTTTGTTTCAATTTGACCCACAGCAAATGTACAAAATTTTATGGTGTGGGAGGAATAAAGGTTTAATTGACGTGGGATTAGTCTTGCTTTTATTACTGATCATTGGAGAAGCCAGAAGTACTTTATGTAGGTCATCCCAAACAAGACTCAGTGAATGCTTTTTCCTCCCTACATCATCATCTGCTTTGTTTATGCCATACTAAAGGCAACAGCTAATTCACACACTTTGAAAGTGCTAAATGTTGCAATCCAAATTGCCTACTGGTGGGAACTGGGGCAGCTACACAGGAGGAAATGAAACTGCTGCTGTTTATAACCAGATTATAGTTTCATCCTGTGCTGGTGTTAGTTTTCATCTCAGTGGCCAAGTTGATTTTGTGCTATGAATCTTAACTGCGCACATCTGGGAGAAGGAAGGATGATCTGAAAGTTAAAAGTTTTCATCTAAGCTGCTAAGTTCCTGTTGTGTTAGCATGATATTGAGGGAGTGAATGACTTAAGCCTAGTGTCACCTCACCTCACCTTAAACACTCGATGAAAGAGAGATGCCTGCATTAGGGTTTTAATCCCTTTTCCCAAGATCTAAATAGCCTCTAGACACAAAACATTGGTTGTTGTTGGGTTTTTTTAAATATTGCTAATCCCTAAGAAAATACTTCTGATCCTGGATTTTGGATTGATCTCATCTGAGATGAAATTCTGTAGATTTTGGTGGGAAGTAAATCGTTTCTGTGACACAGCACTTTAAAAAAAATTGAAGTCAATCTCAAATTTGCTTACACTAGGAACACCCTTAGGAAGGGAGATTTATGAGCAGACTAACCAGTTCACTGCTGAAGGGTACATGTTGTGTGCCATCTATCATATGGGTCCACCGTCTATCGCATGGATAGAAAACAACGCCTCATCTTATACAAATGTATTAGTCAGACAAATAGACCTCGTAAACCATGACGGTTTATGGTAGAGTTGAATACCTTCTGGCCTGCTTGGGCCTCTCTGGCCAGCCTACCTTCAAAGACTACTTTTCCTGACATCAAGTCTGATAACGTGCCACAGCTGGTTGCCCAGAGAGGTAACTTAGTGTATGTTTTTTTATGTATTTGCCTCTTTGTTTTGGCATTGTGCATGTCATGGCTGCCTGCCATTTTTATTTCTGAAACAAGTAACATCATGATGCTAATGAAAGCACTTGTTGTTTCCCACTACAGTATTTCCTAAGACAACATCTAACATACACAGCCTGAAAACAATACATTTTTCAACTGTGAGAGTGTTTCCTAGAGGTGACATTTCCCGCATGCTCAGTGGCAAGTAGTCTTAGCATTGAAAATTTAGGTAGAAACAGTGAATCTTATGCTAAGCAAGTACTCACTTATGAGAATACATGCTATCACCCTAAAGCTGAGAAATCTTTGCTATATTAGGCATTTTGGTATAATGGAGGGATCCATAATGGGGATGCTATCTTTTTATCAAATCCAGCTGATACTAAGGTCCTCATTTTGATGGTGCACTGTGTTTAAGTAAGCATCTGTTTGCATAGATCTGTCAGCATTCCCATTATAAACCCATCTTTTCAAGAAGACATAATGTGAGAGCAAACCTTAAACCAAGCTATAAGTTCTTTGACTGTAAATAATGGATCCACACAATATGCATGCTGTAGATAAGATTATATCATTTGAGAAATTTTATGTGATCATGTAACCAAAAAACAATGTGGCATAACTCAGAGATAAATTTAAGGAATGTTTGTCTTAGACAATACCCTGTCTTTTGAACGTCATGTATCTTCACATTCTTCATGTAAAACATTAATGTAAAAAATTCTATATGGCTGTGTGCAGTATATATTTATAGGTTGCATGTGTCTCTTCATAGTAAAGAGGAAGCAGCCTTTATATGTGTATGTGATACTGGGGCACGGGCATCTGAATGTATATATGAATGAGAGGAACAAAGAAAGTGAGAGAGGCTCTTAAACTGCATAAAACTGTGCAGCACTCAGCTGTTGGTCCTGGTAATTTGTCCGTGTCATACTGTTAGCTTCCGTGAGAAAGCTTGTGAGCTTATGGGTTTTGCTGGACCAAATCCAGAGTGCCTAGCATGTCCAGCATTGCTTCCAGTAGGAGAGGAGTCTTCATATGGATAATCCCATGCTATTGCATTCCAGTGCCTGTTGCCTCACCGTCGCAGGATAGGCCCATCGTTAATGCAGACTGCTTGTCTGCAATGCTACAATGCTACAGGCCAAGTCACACCCTGTCCTTAATGCAGACTGCTTGCCAGATACGTAGTGACAATGCTACAGGCCAAGTCACACCCTGTCCTGTGCTGGTTGTCCTGCCTGAAGGAGCACACCTTAAATCTGCCCAACCTGCAGAGCGTGGCTCCTAAGGCTGCCTAGCAGCTTAGGCTCATGGTACGAGCAGGCAAGGCTCGCACAAGCATTCCTAAAAGTGCTGATGGAGCTGTGTGTCTGATCCTGCCAAGTGATGCCCACATTTTAGCCAGGGCTCTCAGCCTGTGCTTGGGCTTCCCCCTGGCAGCCTGCCTGTGCTCAAGTGGAGGGTGCTGGGGGCAGAGGCTGGGGGAGAATCAGGGCACACCATGCCCATGGTCCTTCTGGGGGCTGCTGTCTCCAAGGGGTATGGACACCCATCTCATCACTTCTCTTGGGTCCAACACTACATACAGTGCTGAGCATGAGTCATGGGAAGTGCCAGGGAGAACCTTGCGGACTATCAGCATAGCTGCAGGCTCAAAAAAAGTCTGACAGGGTGGAGATAAAATCCTGCCCCGATGAAATGCAGCGGAAAGAGCAAGATTTCCCTTTCCCTGTAGCAGAAGGGATCTTCTGCTGTTTGCTGCTCTCCTTCACCTCCATCACCAACTTTGTGAATTGGTGAGTTTCAGCATCAAAACACTGCAGCCTCCAAGAACCTGTGCGTCCTCCTCTTCCCCTACCCAGGGCTCTGTAACGCGCAAAGCCATAATTTAGCCCCAAATGTTATTCTTTAACTCATAATTAACTATTTGTATCCTCTTAACTTGCAACTCGAATATAATCTGATAATCATTCAGTGACTGCCTGGTTAACAGCTGCCGTGCAATTATAAACTTATAGCCTGGTCATTTGTATGTACAGCAGGATAGTAAGGTACCCCTGAAATGTGCTTTGCTATTGTTTTAACGTCTAAATTTCAATCATCTCCTTGATAATTCTGTTAAGGGCATTCTGATGTCTCTTTTCAAGGAAGAAACAGGAAGATACAATATTCTTTCTAACCATTGTTATAAGTATTGGGTTTAATTCAAATATTGTTTTAATGTGATTTGGAAAATACAGACTCAGCTGAATGATGATTTGTAAAGCAGAATGAATGAAACTCCAAGAATATGTAAAAGAGCTCCTGATTTCTATTCCACCAAAAGAGATCTTGATTTCAATAGAAGTTTTGCCTGAGTAAACATCTGTCAAGATTCGGACTCTCGTCATTCTAAAAGAAGTCTCTCTTGAGGGATGTTTTAAGATCTGTGCAGAACAATAGCACAGAAGAATGAGAGCGTGATCCAAAACTCATTGAAATCAAAGGAGGTATTTCCATTATTCAAAAGAAGATTATAGAGTGATGTACAGGAAAATATCAGGAATTATTCCATCATCCTTCACAGGAAAACATTCAACTGTGAGCATTACTGTTGATGGCAACCATTATGCTTATAGTTCCAAGAACAACAGCTCATCTTCTTAACACAGTATTAGAACAAGAAATACCTGCATTTTCCATTTTTTTTTCTTGAAGATGGTGAAACTATTACTTTAAATCATTCTGAACACGATAAAAAGAAGAAATTTTAAAATCTAAATGAATGTCTATAGTTCAGTAATCCATTTGTTGCATGAAACAGTTCTGAAGTGCAGTGTGATTTTTATCAAAACTTGTAAAATTCCTATAAAATGAATGTTGTTCTTATTTACCAATAAATATGCAATCATATTCTTCTTATAGGATGCTTTTAAGGAATAAAGTATAAAAATTATACCTTTATTAATAACCTGCATTTTAGAGCAACGCAAATGGAACTCTATTTAACATGTTAAGAACATATATAATTTTCATCTTCATTACATTTTGTAGCACACTTTATAGCAGGCATGACTGATTTTTTTCCTTTTAAGTGAATGCATTTTAAATAATCTATCCAGATATTTGGCTTTAAAATAGTATAGTTCAGGGATGGAATTGGTCAGCTGCATAGACATTTGTTCAGTTTTTCTTCTCTTCCTTTCCCCAGAGCTAAATTTTTGTTCTCTTAAAGCTACGTGTCTAAGTGACTCGGGATTGGATTGCTTTGAGATGACTTTGAAGGGGTTTGGTTTCCAAGGGAGCTAAAAAAAACCCCACCTGTTCTCTGCTAATCTGCCATCCTTTGGATTTTTCAAACTAGGTATCCAGAAGCATAAATCCCGTTAAAAGTGTAGGCTTAATTTTCACACCTCTGCAGTTGAAAGAATATTTTCATTGCAAAATTGAACTGGTTGAGATACATAAATCTCAAGAAATGGAATAATGATCAGTTAAAGTTGTTAGTTTTCCAACTGTCTGTCCATGCTGCTAACAGCAGTTACTATTCTCCAACAGAGGCAGCAGAATGGGAATTACTCAGTCCAGCATGTACAAGCTTAATCTGCTGCTGAGTCTTGTCTACTAGAGCTGCATGTCTACGAGTAGTTTGAAACACTGCTTCTAATAAGGAATGACATTATGCATCACATTGGAGCATTAACTCTGAAACTTGGCAATTATTAAAGTTGTGGTTGTTCACTGTTTCATTGCTAGTCTGGGTGTAGAAAGTACATAATACAGATAATATATACAAGATATACAATGGTATGTCTGCCTTATCAATTTACTTTGAAATTCTTTCTTCTAATCTCTTGTCCAGTGACTTGCAGGAGCGAGGGTTGGGAAAACCCTGCTGCTCTGTAGCACTTCCACTGTTCCACTTCCACTACCATGTCCCACTTCCACTCCCCATTGCATCGTGGTACAAGTTCCCAACCTCCTGATTTACTAAAATAATTATAAAGAACATATCTTTATGTCCACTAAAACCAGAAACAGCTGTCTGAGCTGGATGAGGATGACTTATGCTATGAATTCCGTCGAGAACGTTTCACCGTCCATCGCACCCATTTGTATTTTCTACATTACGAATACGAGCCTGCTTCAGACAATACCGATGTAACACTGGTGGCTCAACTTTCAATGGACAGGTAGGGAAAATCTCTTGTTCATCTGGAAGTGTGAGACAATGAATATTTTCTTAGAGAAATCCAACTATGTAATGCTTTGGGGAGAGAAAAAGCTCACTTTTGTAGAAACATGGATGTCATACTGTAAGACCTTTCTTGGATTAGGAGTAGCACATGTAGATATCACACATGCATCCAGAGTTCAGCTCTGCAGTGCACACACGAGTGTGGGTAGAGTTCATGAGAGGCTGAATACTGGAATTGCAAGGGTTGTTACTTGTCAGGATTGTCAGGCATTATTAGTTTATGGAGTTTTGCGACAACTTAGAACAAACAGGAGGTGTTTGTAATAGACTTAGGCAAGCAGTTGTAGCTGACCAAGTTTTTACACACAGTATTTCCTCATTAGACAACATTAGTTTTGCTTTCATTGGAATTTCCTTGCAGAAAATCTCAATTAGTGATTTTTCTTATAGTGAAGAATCAAAACTAAGCATTTCATTTTTAAATTAGGAAGTTGAACATTAAACTTTTTTTTTAATGTGCTAGTGTGAAATGAAAAATCTCTTTTTGAGCAGAGTGATTGTATTTTTATATAAATGTTGATTTTCAGAATAACATTTCTAGTTTAACTCTCTTCAACTTTCAGTTCTGATGTAAAGTGGAATTTAACTGGTATTTCATTTGGGAAGGAAAACCCATTTCGTGACAAGTTCCACCTCACCTTTCTGATTGCCACCATCGCAATTAGTTGTCATTTTTCAGAAGCTCTGAATGTGCAGTCAGGATCAGCCAGCTTTGTGAAATTTTGAGTTCTCAATCTCTTTTTTCCTGCTACTTCTCAGTTCGAATCTAGTCCAAACTTTGTAGCTACTGCTATCCGAGTGGGTTAAAAAACAGGTCAGAACTCCTTGAATATTAGCCAGAAACTGACATTTCATTTAGTGGAGCAGATACAGAATACAACATGACCCGTGAATACCATCACTGCTACACCAGTGGAAGGTCAGCAGTATTCCAGGAAGGTCAAAAGAATTCAGATCAACAAACCATTTACAGCCTGTTTTAAAAATAAATGCGAACGAATGAGGGCTATTCTGTTTCGCCAGTGCCTCAGCACTGCATCCTGCACATTGTGCTATGATTTGCTATGTGCATTAGTGTCTGTTCTATTGATTTTTAATTGAGGAAACATTTGTTAAGTGTTCACAAACCTTTGAGTAAAAAACTAAAGAAATAAATTAAGCCAGACCCTGAGCGAGTGCCACAGTAAATTAGTAAAGCTGGTGTGTGCACATGCTATATTTTCCCCCCAGAATTTAATTCAAAAGAATGAGCTGAGGCTCAGTGCTGATTCACTGGCACTGATGCAAAGTCTGAGCATCTGTTTCCCTTTTTGGATCCTCACTGGGGCACATGTTTTTATTGATAGACAGAACCACACATTTTTATTCAGGAAGAACAGCCCTCCTGATACTTTGCAGGAAAAATCTTCCCTACTTTGTTGGTGTGTTGCTATAAATTATTGATTTGAGTTGGAAATACTTTCTTTCCACTAAAATCAATAAATAATATCATACCAAAGAACTGTTTAGCTGCTTTGTTTTCTTTCACATCTTTCAGTTACTGCCTTATTTTTTTTGTATCTTCTTTAAACCACTTTTATTAAACTCTTCCAGCATAGCTGGAGACATTTAAGAATAGTGTCTCAGATTTAAGATGACATGTATAAAAACAATGTGCTATACACTACATTCCTGCATCATTCTTTCAAATGATCATCTGAGATGAGAAAAGGCAAAAAAGCAACTCCCAGCGTCTCCAATTATAGTGCCATTGGAGATGAGACTGACATGACTTTCGTGACAGGCTTATGTTTGCCTGTGCTATAGGCTTGGGGAATGGAAGAGAGGGCCACAGTTTAGGAGCTAACATTAATGTCTTTAGATAGAAGCTTTGAGACAGACATCATTCAGTGTTGTTTGTTATTGGTTAATTCTCACCTTTGATCCTGATGTGACATTTTCTTGGATAATAGCTTGGTTGCATCACTGTGGTTTTCATGCATGTGTTTTGGCTAGGCAGCCTTTTTGAAGGCATGGGATGTACCTGGGGTTCAGAAATCAGAGTGGGAGGTACAAAAATGTGAGATCAGGATGTGGACAAGGAAAGAAACAATTAGCATTGCACCACTTGAAGTCTGGGTGAGAATGAATTGTAAATTGGTTGAGCATTCTTAAGAAGAAAAGTGAAAACAAAGAAACTCACGAATTCCAGCAAAATTCACTTGACTAAAACAGACCTTTAAAAAACTTACCATCTAAATGATGACCTCATTATTATGCAGTGCAGCAGTACATTCATTTTCTCTACAGTCCTTAAGAGAACAGATTCCTCCAGACTGCTAACAAAACCAAAATAACTTGGTCATGTTGTGCTTAGAAACTCGTAATTCTAAGTTTTATGGTCCAAAGAGACTATTGTAACAACCTATAGACAGCAGATTATGGAGCATCACCCAGCAGTCCCTGATTCAAACTCGTGGAAGTGGAGCCTGTCAATGAGAACACAGCAGCAAAATGGAGTGTGCTGAAGGGCGCTAAGCTGTCCAGCTGGAAATTTATACCTGCAAAACCCACTTCCACTTAGCTATGGTGAAAAGCTTTGCAGACATTATCAGGTGTGCCGTTTAAATAAGTTATGTATGCCATTTGTCCCCTGCGTGGAGTCCTTGAAAGGCATTTTGCTGCATTTCTTGCTAGGCAAGTATTCCATTTTTAAAAGGCTGCCCTAAATCTGAGTGCTGATGAATTGGAGTCTCCTGATTAATAGGTTTCCACTATGATGGAAAAAGGCAGGGAAAAAAAAAAAAGATCTTTTTCTCTATTTCTCTATTTATTATTTGTACAATCAAAAGCCTAAAGCCTTCACATACTTTTTAGATCTTTTTTATCGATTTGTGTTTCTAATTCGGCTGTATGTTTCAGGCTGATAATAACCTTTGTTTCAATAATAGATAAAAAGAAAATAATGTACCAGGTGTAGACTAGCAAAGGTAATATCTCATAGCTAAGAAAAAATGATTATATAATCTTGGATGTCATCACGATCATTCAGAAATGCAGGAAAAGCTATTAATGTTAAATCAGGATGTGTGTTTGCTGGTATGAGTATATCATTCCTTTCTGCTGCAAAGCTTAAGGGAGATGGTAGGAGGAGGAAACTCTTTTCTCTGATTACAATGATGCAGAAAACTTTTCTTGTGTTCTGTATAAATATTAATAAGAAAAATCTAGTAATGTGGATTTGGAAGGGAGAGAAGATAATCATGTTGCATAGGCTACTCTTACTAATTTTTAATAGAATATCTGTCTAGGCTGCATAGGTTCATTTCCCTTTGTATTAACTTAAGAGGCTTTGTAATCAGTCCTTGCTGTATTTTTGGGTGGCATATCTTAGTCTCTAGGCAATTCTCTATAAATTACCCAAAGTGCTTAAATGATTTTGACCAGGCTGGATTTGATTTACATTTGTGTATGAGATCTTTTGTTGTAATTTTCATCAGTAGTATTGTAACTGCTGGAAGTTTTAGAAAATAAACATCGATACAACTTGTTTTAAAAATCGTTTAATGAAATTTGAGATACTGCTAAAACATATACAAATTAGTACTTTAAATGATGGTTTTGTCTGAAATGTTCTTTTGATATTCCACAGCAATGCCATGTCTCTCCCTCCTTCTCTCCTTACTCTCTACATGTAGTAAATCCCATTTCTATTGATGTGTCATTCTTTTGCCCTTTCCCTGACAGTGAGTTTTCTTCTAGTCAATGTGAGTGTTCTTATAAGTCAGTATTCCCTTGACCTATCACTTTTACCACCTTTTAAGATCTGACTAACTGCCTTGCAAAAATCTGGGGAAGGTTTTCCTAAACAGGAAGGAAAATGATCTGGGGGTCTGTACACCTTTCCCCTCCACAAGCTTGTTGAAGAGCACTGTAGCGTGTTAGTGTGTGAGAACAGCTTGACCTGAAGTGTGAATTGGGCACTAGACACTCTTTAATACGAGACCCCTGTCCTGTAAGTAGATCCACATAGATGGCTGCAACTCAAAGCTTCCGTCAGATGAAGTCGCGTTGTCCATGTAGGCTTTCCTGTGGCATCAATGATTTAGACATAAAGGATGGTGTTGATTTCACCTAACTTGAGGTATCTGAGTTGTGGATGTGTGTATCTGAACTAGGGCCGTCTTAGGCTCCATTGCATTCAGTGGAGAGAAGTAGGCATTTCTAGGGTGCAGTCCATCTGTCCAGAAGGAGACATCAACTTAGATGAGATAAATTTTACTGTAGAAATATTTATTGCTTTCCACAGCATATAAAGTGACCGCAATCTGTCTCGCTTAGGGACAGATATCTGCATTTAATCAGATGAACCCAGGCAAAGAGTTCCAGACAGGGAGACAGCCTTTTCTTATTCTCACCCTTCCTCTTTCAGGCTCCAGATGCTTGAAGCCATCTGCAAACACTGGGAAGGTCCAATCAGCCTGGCACTCTATCTTTCTGATGCAGAAGCCCAGCAATTTCTGCGCTACGCCCAGGGCTCGGAAGTACTTATGAGCCGCCACAATGTCGGCTACCATATCGTGTACAAGGAGGGCCAGTTCTATCCTGTGAATCTGCTGAGGAATGTGGCCATGAAGCATATCAGCACACCATACATGTTTCTGTCCGACATTGACTTCTTGCCTATGTATGGACTCTACGAGTACCTCAGGTAAATGGACAGTGGAGGGATTCCCACCGTCACCCATGTTTTCAGCCCCTGCACACCCCACCCTTCTCACATGTTCCCAAAACAATGCAGTTTGATCGGATCTGAAAGAGGCAGCTGATAGATGTTTAAGGTGTGACAACGCCCAGCAAGGCACAAGAATTTTTAAGGTAGAAGAAGGGACTGTAGCTGGAAGTAAAGCAATACGGTTATGAAAGAAAAAACTCAGGTCTAAATGTGAACCCTGTTAGCCGTCAGAATAATTCGCTCAGGGCAGCACAAGAATCCATTTGAAAATTGAACTGGACTAAGTATTATTAAATGTGCCAGAGCATCCTGTATTAGCAGGGATGTGAACCAGGCGATTTCCCTAAATATCCCTGATTCTTAATGTCAGTGACAGAACAAACATGCGAAGCATTACTGAACTTCTTGTCCCTGTGACACACTCTTAATCCAGTTCCTTCTCTTGAAAAGAGGGTGATAGTCTAACCAGCTCAAAAATATGACTGCACTGCCAGCACCTGTCAAGGCAAAATAATTAGCATAAGGAAACTGGAAAGAGTAACCTCAGTGTGTATTGTATCATAATGAATGTGAGCAGGTTGGGCTGAGCAAACTACATACTTCTGATGCATTAACTGAACTTTTTTTAATAAAGACCTTTTCGCCCTGCAGAGGCTGGTCATCTGAGGCCAAAGCATAGAGCAAGGAGGACACCCTGTGGCCAGACAGGAGGATTTCAGTTCCTTAGTCCTGAGCAGTTTTGCTTTTCATCTCTGTTCCAATTTGGTAAAAGTTGATGAAAGTGTTCCAGTAAGGGTCTGCCTGGAGGTGATCCCTTTGAGTCCACAGAACCAGGGTTTTGGAGTGTAAAGGGAAATACACCTTCCAGTATCAAAAAGTTATGGAGTAATTCCCTTGTTTTGGGCTTAACAACTCAGTAAGCATCTTTTTCTCACTTCTCCCTCATGTGGAGAATGAATTGCCTTTTTCAATTTCTGCGTCCATGTACAGGGCCAAATTCACTATTCAGGGGGCTGGAGCACCTCTCCTGTGAAGACAGGCTGAGAGAGTTGGGGTTGTTCAGCCTGGAGAAGAGAAGGCTCCACGGAGACCTTAGAGCAGCCTTTCCGTACCTAAAGGGGGCTTGTGAGAAAGATGGGGACAAACTTTTTAGCAGGATCTGTTGCATTAGGACAAGGCATAATGGTTTTAAACTAAAAGAGGGTAGATTTAGACTAGATATAAGGAAGACATTTTTTACAATGAGGGTGGTGAAGCACTGGCACAGGTTTCCCAGACAAGTTGTGGATGCCCCATCCCTGGAAACATTCAAGGTCAGTTTGGATGGGGCTTTGAGCAACCTGACCTATTTGAAGATGTCCCTGCCAGTGGCAGGGGGGTTGGACTAGATGGTCCCTTCCAACCTAAACTCTTCTATGGTTCTATGATTCTGTGGCTTTTAAGACACTGCATTTCAATAATATCATTGAAGTTTTATTGCACTGTGTCAGCTTGTTTCCCACTTATTTTAGGGATATTTCTTTTTCACTTGTGCTGTGAGGACTCCAAAATAATTCTCTTCCTTGCACACATTAGCTGTCTCAAGATACATGTAGGGACAGTTGTTAGCTTTTCTCTTCTTTGACATTAGTGTTACGTATTGCTACATTTCTTCAGATTAGTGCTGGACGTGGTAAAGATAGCAGCTGTTGATATTGGCATGTAGTACTGAAAAAGCAACTTGTTCCTCCATGCTGCTTCGCAGTGCACGGATGAGAGTCAGCACTGAAGGGAAGAAGAGAGGAGAGAAGACAGAATGATATACCACAATATAGTTGAGATATTACAACCGTAGAAATAATTCTGGTATGGTGATAATGTATTATAGAACTAAATGCGCAGTGATGCCACCCATTGGTGCTGTTTCAGAAAAAAGACAGATTTGCACTGAAAGCTGTTGCATCCGAGACCTTGTGTTACTCTACCAGCCTTTTGTGAGACCCATACCACCTTAATTCTGACTGTGAGTCTCTGTTGTCTGGGAATATCAAAATTGCTAATCTGCTACTACCAGCTATTTTAAAAAGGATTGGATTTTTTTGCATGTGAACTAGAGGCTTTTGTTGCTTTTTCAATAACGATTTTTCTGAGCAAAATAGCAGGGAGGTATAGTGAGATTATTTTAAATACGAATCCCCTGTATCTTTCTGCACTGACTGTTCCCACCGCCTCTGCAAGTAGCTGATTAGTGCTATCTATCTGAATGGCAGCGACTGTTTGTTAGAAAGACACACAAACATTTTCATCTTCATTTCCTCAGATAGAACATCCATAAACAAATAGAAATAGTGTGGTGTTTCAGGCATCACTTTGTACAGGATGAGCCAGACAAGTCCCTCTCACTGCAAGTCTGCTGATTTACATATATTGTATATTGTGTCTCTACAGACAATATATTCTCAGACAGAAAGGGATTTTGAAAAACGTTTTCAACATGTTTTGAAGGTGGTGTATGTGAAAGGTTATGGCCAGTTTTGAAGGAGAAGCTGAGGGAGCTGATGGTTACCTGTCCCTCTAGGTATCTGTTGCTAGCACTTACATTTGTGCTAATTGAGCTTTTACACAGGTGCTAAGTAAGACCATTTCAATGCTTTTAATCTCCATCAAACCCCCTTTATGTCATACCTTACTCTTCTGTGAAGTACAAAAGGAAAGAAATGTATCATTTAAAGATTTCCTGTTTATGAAACTCAGTTTATGGTCTGTGCTGAGCCAAAGTCTTTTGTCACCTTCCCTCATTAGTTACTGAGGTCATCTTGTTATGGCCCCAGAGGTAAAGGCTCTTTGTGGTTGCTACAAGTAAGGTGTGTGGGTCATTCTAAAGGTTCTTCTAACATAAAATAACTAGACAGGCTGCTTATCTACTGTTGTCACAGCTAGCATGAAAGTTCTTTCCTGACACATTTGTGTAAAATATGCCTTTCGCTTCCTGCAACACATTTAGCATGAATTGGGACCTTGCATCCAATCTCTGTCCGCAGGTTTTATACCTGCCCCTGTAAAATGAGTTGTGAAGTATTTCTGGTTGTTCTTCAGTATCTCAGCAAAAGATAGACTTCATCTTGTGCCTATTGTTTTTTATTTGTTGGATACCTTTGTAGGCTATGCATTCATTGCTTTTGTAAAGAGGAGGAACGTTCTAATGAATTTAGCAGTGAACTGACAACTCTCCAGCTCTTACTACAAACTCTGTGACTGCCATATTTGTTGATCTCAAACTAACCACTTACCAAGTCCTGGTAGTGGAAGCTAACTTGAGTTAATGGACTTTTTTCTTTTTTTCCTGAATTCAGTGCTTTAGGATTAGGTTGCTAACCTTTCTGTGTCCGAGCTTCTCTGTCCTCCAGAAATGGGAATGATATTACTATCTGTCCCCGTGAGGATAAGAATTCTGTGTTAATTTTTTGAAAGGACTATGGAGATGAAAAGATTGATATCAACATGCTGGCGTTTATTCAACCTGTGAGGAGAGTCTTGTGATTTAAGATTCATTTCTTCCTTTCTTGCAAAAAATAGGGTTGATTAGTAGATTCAGAAATTTAACTCAACCTTTACTGTGTCAGAATGACATACATCAAGTCTGAACACAAAGATGCCTGGGAAACGGTTTCCTGGACAACACTAGCAAAGAGAAAGTTCTTCATAAAAACATAGATCCTTATTTAGGGGTTTGAGGAAACAGGACAGATAAAGGAAAATGGATACTGAATCGATATTACTGAATCCAAAAAACAACCTTTGTAAGGATAATGCAGGAATTAAACAGTATACCCAGTGCTAGTCTGAAACATAACCGAATGTATTCCCTACATTATCTTCCACATGTCTTGCAAAACCAACAGTGAAAATTTTCCTATTCCAAGTATCACAGAACCAGTCAAACAGCAAATGATTCCTCCACTCAAAACAGGAAAAAAAGTCACCCCATAGAAAAGGAAAAGTAGATTTGCTTCCAATAGGAAGTTAGATTGTCACCTGGTTGTCTGAGGAGCAGACCACCAGCCAAGTTATCAGAAGAAAATGGAAGGTGTTTTTTTCTCTACCAAGTCCTCCCTGCCATTATCACAATTTACATGGCCTCTGTTGTCCTTCGTCACTCAGGTTCAACAACTGAGTGTCAGCACTGATTCCTTCTTCCCCTTACATTAGTCCTTTATGTCATCTAGTCCACATCAAAGGCAGGCTGTTCTACTTGGAGGTCAGTGCTGCTGGACTTCTTGACTGAGCATGTCTCAACTCCCAGCTCAGTTTTGGTGAACCCCTCCACTTTGACCTTACCAACGTGCACCTCAGATGCTCACATATCTTGAAAATAGTTCTGCAGAGATTATCCCGCTATTTTATTTCACGCTTGAAGTACCTCCACCAGTTCTCTGGGTTTGACTGTATCCAGTACAAGCATTTTGTTTTCAGACCTCTGCTTCTCTCCACTTACCTAACTTTTCATGTTGACCTTTGACGGTGCAAGTGATTTCAGGCTCTTGCATCAATTTGTTCCCTCTGCCTTTTGTTTTTCTTCATGAGGGTAGTGCCATCTATTCTTTCCAACAGTTCTGCCATGGACACCTATATTAAATTTGCAGATGACAAGCGTAGGGAGTGTGCAGAAAGGATTACTGATATCTACATAATTTTTGTGCTTGTATCCCATATCTTATGAAGTGAGCCATGTTCAACACTAGTTTCAACACAGCTTGCTCTGTCTAACTGTCTCTGCTGTTGCCCTTGCTTGATATCTATACCTACTTCAGCTTTGTTCAGCTTCAGACTGTGAACTTTCGTGCGCAGGATTGTCTCCTACTCTTTGACAGTGCCAAGCACAGCAAGGCCTTGATTTTTGCCTGGGACTTCTGAGCTCTCCGTCAAACAAAGAGATAGTAACAGCCATAAATGGAAGCTGCGGTTTCCCTGCAGAGCCCAAAGGGTGAGCATCACTGCAAATGTTACCTGCTCCTTCCTGGAACTGAATCCTCAAAGCTGTACTGCTCAAAGCTGATAGATTGCACAGAGTCCAGAAAGCCTGAGATGTTGGAAGAGAAACTTTGTTAGTGTCACCTGCTTTCAGAAAAGGTATGAAGGAGAAGAAACATCAAAAGCGTCATAAAGACTGGATGCTGGCACTGCTCAACGATTCTGGAAGGTCGTGGAGGCTGATTGTGAAGGAGTCATCTATTTACATGCAGATATCTTGGCCGTTAGTGATGATGAGAGAGAAACTAGTGAAGAAAGTACAAAAAAGTTGTAATAAGATGCTGTTAAAATCCTTCAATAGTGAAAAGTTCACTGGAATGTGGCAGGGGTTCTTTAAACAGTGCAAATGTTGCAATAAGGCGCTGAGAACAGATTTCTTTTTATAGAACAGGCCTATAGGGTGGTGTGAATTCTCTAAAATTCAGATTTTATTAAATAGCCCTGCTCTTCTTCTTTTCTCCGATGGCAATATAAATGAATTCTAGGTATTCTGAGCCTAGAAAAGTGGTTTGTTTGGTCCTTCTGTTATTATGACAGTAATCCCAATTCTTTCATCTTATAAGGCTGTAGAGAGTTTGCTGCTTGTCAACGTTGTCCTGATTGCTTGTTGCAGTAACATAAAAGTCAGGACAGTGAATCCTATTAAGGGGAACTGACTTTGACAGGGAGAGAGGCATATTTCTTATATGAAATATGAAGATAATGAAAGAAAAATCGAGATGGAGTTATTTCTAATGACAAGCATAGTAAGATTCAGTTTGGGGATGGAAAAGTAACTTTTTTTTCTTTGGGTTTTAGTTTGTTAGGAAAGAATAGACTGAATACCTCTGGCAGGCAGGGCGTAAGATTGCCAAGCCCTCGTTCTCCTGCAGCAGTTGTCCTAAGGCTTCTGTCTGGAGAAGGGCCCTACTGTGCAAAACGCAGTTTGCACACACACGCACACTCAGACACCAAAACAGTCTCTGCACTGAACAACTTGCAGCAAAAGAAGGGGAAAAGCGAGGTATCTCAGTGCACCCAGTGCCCAGCTTTTCTCTGCAGGAAACAGCCTCTTTGCCCTACGTACAGAGCCAAGCACAAATGAGCTCTGATCTCTGGGTGCTACCATGTACGTAATTAACAGTACTCAAAAAATTACTGCTAATGTACAGTTTTGCTGATTTGCACCGTGTCCTGTTACAGCAGATCTGTGCCTTGTCTTGAACAGAGACCGACCATCATGAAAACAGTGCTCTTGAGGAGCAAATATCTGGTCCATAGTGGTGTTAAGGTAACACTCACCTTGCAGGACATACAGAGCTCTAAAACAGAGGTAAAAAGCAAGTATGATGGCACAGCATAACACAGAGAATAGCTAGGCTGAAATGCAGCCAGGCTTTCCAGCTCCTCATCTTGTAAAATCCCACTGAGTCCTGGATAAATCCCATTTTTTTAGAACTGCCATTGACTGGACAGCTCTTTCCTATAAATGTAGTAATATTCAACTACGTTTCTCTTAAAGGAGTGGTCAGTTGGCCGTGCTCAGAGTGCCAGTTCAACTCTGTGCACCCCTGGACATGCAGGGCAGCATTGATCAGTCAAGCACGCAAGCTCTTTTTGAACTGTGTTGTTGTCCCTACTCGTAGAGCAGCAGATCAAAACTAGAGGAAAATATGAAGCACCCCTGGGAAAAAATATGGGCCATAGTTACATTTATAGTATGAAATTGCCCATTCTCTGCACTGTATTTTGAAAAGCCAAGTGATTTGCTCAGTTTAACATTTTCCTGCTTTTATTTGTTGTTTCTCTTTGCCAGGAAGTCTGTCATCCAGCTAGACCTGGCTAACACCAAGAAAGCTCTGATTGTACCTGCTTTTGAGACCTTACGCTACCGCCTCTCCTTCCCCAAGTCAAAAGCAGAGCTGCTATCTATGTTGGACATGGGAACCCTCTTCACATTCAGGTAATGGAAAGTACTTTTGTTGAACCTGTGATCATTATCTCTAAAGATATTTTTGATGTTCTTGTGAATATTTGATTTTTCTCTGTCAGCTAGCTAGCTCCATTAAGAAACCTACTGAAATTGGTTTTCCCTTTTCATAGAGAGGGAGTGAACAGGATCGTATGTGGATATATTCCATCTGTAAGCTCAGCATTTTATCTAGTATTATAGTCCGCTACTGAAGGACTTCAGTTGTTAAATTGAATTTGTTTTATTTTCATCATTTTTTATTGCGCTACAAAATCAAGCGCGACCATTACACTCATGTGCGTGTAATTTGCTTTTTGGCTGCCAAATACTATCCGGATAGCTGTGTCCCTCATGTGAGCAAAAATAATTTCTCTCTGCTCGTTTGTTCGCTTCCTTACTGACTTACTGGAAAAACAAATGCAGACTTGTCATGTGCTCTTTTAAAGTGTGAAACAGCTGCTTAACTAGCTAGAGTTTCTCAATGCAGAGGTAAAAGTGTAGTCTGACTAGAAGTGGAGAAGTGAAGAACACCTAAATTTGGAGTTCCTCTCTGAAGCAGACTCCTTTTGTGGCTGTGAACAAGTCACTTCTATTATCTGCCAGACTCTTCAGTTTCAAAATGCAACTACCAGGGGTTAACTGTCTCTTGGGTATGTGTGGTAAGGTCTGATTAGCAGACATTTGTAGAGCATCACAGTGATGGGAAGAGTACAATATGGCCTTATGATGTTGCACAGAGAGGGGGCTTAGGAGACCTGCGTTCTCTTCTCAGCTCCACTACTGCCCTGCTGGGAGGTGGTACGTGAATCAGTTCGCTTTCTTACATCTCTGTTCTCCATCTCTGAAATGCAGGTAACAATGTTCACCTCTCCTTTTTACAGTATTTTGAGATCTAGAGATAAAAACTGTGAAGAAGCTTGGTATTATCCATGCCCAGTGGAGGTCTGTATCACCTCTCCCATCCTTCCCTTACTTTAGAGCTTTCCTCACACTTCTTCCATTCCCTGTATTACAACCTCTGTCATTGCAGCAGACACCCTTCCCTCATGTGGCCACATGCACATGTCACAGCAGACAGCCTGTGTGAGCCTGGAAGACATAATTCTGACACTACCTCTACCACTGACTGCCTTGAAATAGAAACTTGAGGTAACTGAGAGAGGCATGCCTATCTCTGGAAAATTACTTAAGGATACTGATAGAGCAAGTGCCTTTCAGTCTTCCATCATTCTTTGACAGTCAAAGACACACAAATTAACAAGAGATTTGTTGACAGAAAATAATTGTTTCTTCCATAGTTGAAAGAAGAAAATCCTTCTGGTGAAAAATAACACCCTCAGGAATTTCAGATGTTACATTCCACCAACAATCAAATTTTCAGCTTGCACAGCAGTGGCCTTCCACTACAGATTTCATCTTCGAGCTATATGGCATCTTTGTGTGTTATGTACACAGCCGGATTTGCAGATCCTTTCTCAAGTCTCACTCAGGAAAAAATGTCCTTAACATCAGTGGGAGTTTTGCCAGAGCAAGGTTAAATAAGAATTGAAGGACATGCGGTCTGTAGCTGGTGTACATATTAATGGACACATTTTACAAATGCTTCCCCAGTTTGCTTTGGCTCATTTCATTGCTCAAATCTATCAGCAGCCACAAAGCAGCTGTGATCTGGGCTGAGAATTTCCACCTCCACCTTCAAGGTGCTTTAATAATGCTGCAATTCGAGGCTGAGCAGGTGGGAGTGAGCTGGGGAGGACTGCTGTGACAGTGATTGCTGAGAGTGCCTGCAGCATCCCAGTCCCTCACACCACATGGTAGATTACAATCTTTCCCTCGCTGAAATTGCTTTTGTCACCTCTTTTCCGAATGGTGACCTTTTCTACCTCTGGGCAGCTAAGAAGTATGAAACAGCTCTCAATTACATCCCCTGGTCACCACCAGAAGAAAAAGGAAGACATGTGAGCATCTGCGGCTGGCAAGGTGTGCTGTGTGGAACCCCTCGGTGGTGGTGGGTTGCTCTGTGCCAGCTTGCTGGCTTGATTGCAGGTGCTGGCTGTGACTGTGCCGCACAAGGATGTGCCCGCTCAGTGCCTGGGTAATAGCTGATGAACCACAAACATACTGCCGACACAGCTTTCAGGCATAAGAGAAACCACAGCTGGTAGAAGACGCATCATATTGAAAAAACATAACCAGCAACAACTGATTAACTAATTAACTGATTGCATCCACAATCCAGCAAAATGTTTAAGCATCTAAGAACAGAACTGGGAAAGTTTTTCTTTCACCAAATCATCTTTCTCACTGAAATGGGAAGCTTTGAGGGACAAGGCAGGGAGGAAGAACACTCTGAGAATAATGATTTCATTTTACTGACTTTAGCAAAGTTTACTATAGTTTTGAAATTTTATTTTAAATAAAAGCAACAGATATCACAAGTAAGATGAAACATTTGATCCAAAGCGGGGCGGACGGGGGAGGTGTTTTCCAGTTGTTTGCCATGAACTGTGGGAGAGAAACTCATTATCATTTCATGGAGATTGAATGATTTGGTTTGGATTTGTCAAAATTGCCAGCGTAGTGAAAAATATGTTTTTCACAATTTTCACAAGGTTCTCCTGGGAGTCAGTAGGATTGAGTGTGGCCTTAAAATTCAATGTGTATTTAAATTTTGAGTGAGAAGGGCCTGAGCAGGAAAATTAGAGTTATTCATTTGTCCTGTGAGATGAAAGACCAATACAGACAGTGAACCACTTCTCACAACTGTGTCACAGAGACTAAAATGTGTTGGAAATGACACACTCTTTTATGGTAGCTTCCTCTATATGGGTATCCATGTAATGGTGTCTGCATATCTTACTTTGCAGTACCTTTCATGCGGTGATCAGCCATTGGCCACGACCTCACTCCAGCAGATTATATGTGTGTGTGTATATGTATGTAGATCCATATATATTGTATGTACAGGTATTTATGTAATCCTGAACTCTCACAATTCTGGTTTCCAGTCTAACTATTCCTTTATAGTCAGTGTGTGCACACCCCATTTGAACATCCTGTACTCAGTTTCCTCTTTGTCCTGACCTTAGCGATCCTTTTGTCAAACTTTCCCTCCACTCACATCAGTCACTCTGAAGAGGCAAGTAGAAAACCTCTGGTATTGTTTGGTACAATCAGGTCTATTCCTTCCTTTCTGCTTTGTTTTGTCTCTCCAATCTCGCTTCCATATTTTCCCTTCATTGTCTCTTCCCAATTTTTTTTTTCCCCCTGCTGGTCAGCTCTCTCAACTCACAGAGGTTATACTTGAGCTGCTGTAACGGCTTACATGGATATCCCTCAAAAGGGTGAAAAGGTGGAAAGAAATTGATGGCTTTTATGGTTAGTCCCCTGTTCCCCTCCTGTGTTACTAGAACAACAGCAGCATTTACACCAGAAGGCTGCAGTGCCATTCAGTGAGACATGGAGAGTCTCACGCTGGAGAGTTGGGCGGAGAGGAACCTAATGAAATTCAACAAAGGCAAGTGTAGGGTCCTGCACCTAGGGAGGAATAAGCCCATGCACCAGCACAGGCTGGGGGTTGACCTGCTGGAGAGCAGCCCGGCGGGGGAGGACCTAGGGGGCCTAGGGGACAACGAGTTGACCATGAGCCAGCAATGTGCCCTTGTGGCCAAGAAGACCAAGGTATCTTGGAGTGCATGAGGAGGAGTGTGGCCAGCAGGTCAGGAGAGGATAACCTCCCCTGATGAGGCCACATCTGGAGTGCTGTGTCCAGTTCTGGGCTCTGCAGTTCAAGAAAGACAAGGAACTACTGGAGAGAGTCCAGTGGAAGGCAACGAAGATGATGAGGGGACTGGAGCATCTCTCTCATGAGGAAAGGCTGAGGGAACTGGATCTGTTCAGCCTGGAGAAGAGAAGACAGAGAGGATCTCATCAATGCTTGTAATACCTTATTGTGGACATCAAGAGGATGGGGCCAGAGTCTTTTCAGTGGTGCCCAGGGACAGGTTAAGGGGCAACGGGCACAAACTGAAACTCAAGAAGTTTCATCTTAATACGAGGAAGAACTTCTGTGCTTTGAGAGTGGCAGAGCACTGGAACAGGCTGCCCCGAGGGGGTGTGGAGGCTCCTTCTCTGGAGATATTCAAAACCCGCCTGGACATGATCCTGTGCAACTTGCTTTGGCAGGGGGATTGGATCTCCAGAGATCACTTCCAACCCCAATCATTCTGTGATTCTGTGATTCTGTGATTTGACTTCTTCTCTGCAGGAATCTCTCAATTAACCAAAGTTTGTTTGGGGCCTTGAAGATACAAATCACTTCGTAAGTGTTTAGTAGTCAGTATTATTATTATCACAATTAATTTCAAAATGCCAAAGGTAGGGTTTTAGAAGACACAGCATCCTCCACAATCCCATATCATTTCAAATCCCACATCGTGATTTTATTTTTTTTCCATCATAGATAACTGCCCATTAGTGATGGCATAGGTTGCCCACTTATTTCCAAAAGAGACCAAGAACAGGGATAGGCTTTTTGGATATGATTCCAAAGGGCATTAAGGATTGTAAGCATCTTTGTGAATCTGGCACTTGTTTCTAATAATCTCTAGAGAATTAATTCACTGTCATTTTTTTTAATACAGAAGGGCTTTGGTTTTCCAGGTCCCCAAGCCAGATACCAGAAAGTGATGCAACTAGTTTACAGTTTAGAAATGCAGCTTTCAAAGGACCATATGTTACTTGGGACCCCAGTGCTATCCTAATAATTCTGTCCTCCTGCACTGCCCTTGAACAAGGAGTCAGCATAGCTGAACACCTCTCTGGTTTTCCTGTTACAAGCCATACAAATATACAGTCCGAGTGAAAACTCCGAGGTTGTGATATTACGTCCCTGTTTTTAGCAACAGCTTGCAACGTTATGAGAATTTCTTGGAATTCTGTTTCAGAGAAATTCTGAAACATTACCTCAGGTCCTAATTCTGCAAATATTTAATGCTCAATTCCCTTTACTTTTAACACATGAGTCATACCTGTGAATTCAATGTACCTTACATTACAGACTGGCAGGATGTTTGTTTTGCCCCTTCTGTTACACATCTCAGAGTGTTGTAATACAGATGGCCTGCTATGCCTTTGTTTCATTATTTAATCTATGAGTCTGCAGAAAGAGCCTGTCTCATTGATTTTGGGAAAGTGTAAGAAGAATAAGTGGGCGAGAGAGTCATTGACCCTGGCACTAATGGGATGGATTCAAGCTGTGCTTGGAAGAGGCCTGCTGTGACCTAAACAAGATTAACGAAGTATAAAAGGATATTTTTCTGTAAATCAAATTGATTACCTTGCTGAGGATCACATGGGTACTCCCCACAATGTAGAAAGTACAGCAGAAAGCCTTTATGTAATATTTTACTTATTAATTTAATTATGCACTTTGGTTCCTGCCATAGTAATAACAGTAATTAATAAAATGGAACATCTATCCAGAGCTGCAGGTGTCTCTCCTACAAATTATAAAATTGCATATAAAACAGATTGTAAATGTCACTGTAATGTAGAAATAGCTAATTTTAGGGACCTTATCTGAGCTACAGAATTTCCCACCGATTTTAGGGCACTGATACAGCCGTTTGGTTGCTAGAAACGAAACACAGCACTTTGTAGTGCAGATGAACCGTCTGTGTACTTTGTAATTGTTTCTCACATTAGCATTAGATAGTGTTTTCACACTATCCTTCACCATCTAGATGTCTTTAAGGACTGAGCACATACAGGCTCTGGAAAGCGTGCTGGAAATAGTCCTCGAAATTGCCTCCGATATGTCCTGAAAACGATGATGTGAACTGTAAGCTAATGTCCTTATTTTTGAGCATTTCATCTAACAAGTAACATTTTGTTGCCTTGCCAAGATGCGTTCTATCTAATTGCCTCCCCACGTCTGTGCCATTTATGTCTGTTTAAGGTATCACGTCTGGACGAAAGGGCATGCGCCAACGAACTTTGCCAAGTGGCGAACAGCCACGACTCCCTACCGTGTTGAGTGGGAAGCAGACTTTGAGCCATACGTTGTTGTGAGGAAGGACTGCCCAGAGTATGACAGGCGGTTTGTTGGATTTGGCTGGAACAAAGTAGCTCACATCATGGAACTGGATGCACAGGTGAGGAGACAACCACCTGCCTATCTCACCCAGGGCTGGGCAGCAGGGTTCTTAAAATGAAATCTGTGTTCTGTAGAAAAGCTTCAGACTTTGCATCAGCAAAGTGCTCATCTGGCCTTACTGAGCTCCTTAATGAGTGCTTCTTCAGTTGGGAACACTCACTTTAGTCCTTGTCGAGAATGAAAAGGAGAACTGAGTCTGAGTTAGTTTATTTGTCCATGCTGAGAAAGTTATTGTTTCGCAGTGGCACAATCCCCACAGTGCCCACCTCCTGCCCAGCAGTGTGCCTGAGCATTGCAGCACGTGTTGCCAGTCTCATCACTTACTAGGGGATCTATAGACCTAGCTGGAAGTTTTTCAGTTAAACAGAGGTTGGTGAGTCCCAAATGCTAATTTAGAATTCAAAAAGCAATCTTAAATTGAATCCAAGGCAAGCATCTTCAATTTCTGGCCTGGATTTACAGCGCATCTCTGCAAAGCCAAGGACTTTACATTTGCAAAGTCTCTGGCTGTGGAGCAGACTCTAGAGGATCCAGGTACTTGATCCTTGGGCTGCCTGCCTCTTGGATGGAGCTGCTGGGCAGAATATATAAGAATAAGGATGCAGAGAAAGCTCGAGAGTCCCAGACTGGCACTAGAGCTCTCAGAGCTGCCAAGGTCCCTGCCACCGACCTAGATGTTAGAGGCTGGCAGTGACTATGGCTCTGTGGGAGCCCAATGCTGCTGCTCACTGAAATGGCAGGGTTTGCATCTCCCTGCTGTTCTGGGATGTGAAGCTAACCATTGTGCTAATCAGCAGGGTCTGGGTCATGGCATTTCTTTTTAGTTTAGGTTTGTTTGGTTGTTTTTTTTCAGTTTGGTTTCAGTCCCAGTTTTTGAACTAGTAGTATTTCATGCTAACCAAAAAACACGGGTTTTGGCCATCTGTATCCTCCTATGCTAGCTTCTGCTATGGATCTGGAACATAGCTGATCTTCTCTGCCCAACTCTTACCAGTTTATGTGAAGCAGAGCAGCACAAGGCATGCAGCAAGTTACTGGGAGGCTGTGTCTCTAGAATGTGGGCTACGGTGTATTTGTGTGCAGGCACATATGTGAAAGGGATATTTTCCACTTCTGCTTACAAAACCACATGGTCACCTTGGGCTGGCAGCTGCTTACCCTCTGTTTGCAAAAGGGCATTCCCAACAAATTCGTACCTACTTACATTGAGAAAAAGTGATTACAGAGTAAAAAAAAAAAAAATTATCCCTTATGTTATTGTTACTAATAATACTTTGCTTTGCTATAGCACTTTAATTTTCCAGTGCACTTTCCAAACACTAATCAATTAACCATTGGTTGTGGAGAGTGCCAGGGTAATGAATTATTATTTGTTAATCTGGGTAACAAGGCTTATGTTCCCACTGGCAGCTCTCATCTAGCATTCATGATCTACCTCTTCTGTTCAGGGACATTTACCCAGCATACAGATTCACACACGTGAAACTGGAACATTTTTCAAAGTTGATCATAGCGCAGGTACGTTAACTGGCCATTGGGTTGGAATTAACTCTGAGGAATTGCTTTTCTCACTTTTTCAGCCTTAAAAACGTTCTCACATTGAAAAGAAGTTTCATTTTCATCTGTAGCAACATAGGTATTGGTCTGTTCTCCCACCAAATCAGCCCAGAGAGGATGTGGGATCACACAGCTACCTCCCCCTTTGGTATTCCTCTGCTTCAGGGTGTCCACAGATCAGGTTGCTGCCAGCTGCTTGGCTGGCTTCATTACCAGCAGGCAGAGCAACCTCCCAACTGAATTATTTCCCTGCTCCTCACAACTGCAGCATCTGTCAAGAGGACTATTTCAGACTCCTTACCAGGGGCCTGTGCCACTACCGTTCTTCAGAGCAGCACACTGCATGGAGATAATCATCATTATTATTCTGGGGGCATGCAGATGTCCACTGAGCTGGATGCTGTACAAATACATAGATAATGACAGTCTCTGTCTAAAGAATTTATAACGCGTGAGGTAGGGACAGAGGTTCCTGCAAGTGCATTGCTTTCTCAACAGATGTTTCCTCATAGTAGGGATGGGTCATTAGGAAACCTTTCCCTGCTCTCCCAGTGACTATGGAACTAGACTGTGAGCATCCCTTTTTCCGGGACCCCAGCCCAGCATCTTATTAGCAGGGCTTATTAGCAGCAGACTAAGTTTTTGGAAGGCTTTATGTGCCTGAAGGCCTTTTGGAAGGATGAGAGCACCGCTGTACTGAGCAATTTACACTGCGGAGCATAGATAGTCCCTGACCTGCAGGATTAGACTTGAAATGGAAACAGAGAACAAAGAAAAGGTTGTATGAGGGGAATGCATTGTCCTCTGCAGCTTCAGCCCATAGTTTTAAGGTCCCAAAGAGACATGTTTTGTAGTTTGTAGTTTATCAGGTCTCCTCACTCCATAGTGCCAGGCTTTGGTTTTGTGTTTTGTTCCTCATTAGTTCTAAGGCTCTTCCAGCTAAGTAAGTTCTGCCTGTGTGCCTTAGATTATTTTGCTCTTGCTGTACATTTGTTACCCCAAACAGAAGCTCGGAGAGGCCCATTCCCATATGTGACAGCATTGTAATTTGGCACAAAGATTTACCACTTTAGCACTGTCTGGCAGGGAACAGGCATTCCCGTAATGAGAAAGGAGCAGCCATACAGCTGCATCTGCACCTAGCTGCCCAACACATGCTACTGTTTCATAGGTGTCTCTGGGAAGGCACTGCAGCCCTAGCTACTCTTTGCGCTCACCAGTACCACTGCCTGAGTTGAGAAATGGATCCACATTGCATTCTGCTTCTTTTTTCCATTTTATTTGCGGTTCATTTTGGGCTATGTTGCTCAAACGCTTGATTTCTGCTGGCATCATAACCCAGCAGCTTTCAGTCTTTTCTAGGTTGATCCTATTTTGTTAGGTGAAGAAAGATTTATAGGTGAAGCACTCATGTTTATTAGCACAACTGTGTTCTGTCCCATAAATCTCTTTCATATTTGGGAGTACTCGGCCTCTGTGCTGCAGCTACTCTGTGTCTCTGCACAGACTCCTAAATCTACAAGTGACTGGACTTTGCAAACTGGGGGAAGTTGTGCACCATTTCTTTTAAAACCAACATGCTCTGTGGCTGTTCCTTCCCTGCCCGGTGTCTTATGCAGAGATGGTTAATGAGTCAATCCAGCAACAGTTGTAAATAGAAACTGTGTGAGGACAATAGGAAATTTGCCAGTGGAGGCTTCGAAGTTTCTTTGTCATTTCCCTCCCATACAGCTCAGACTTTTTGAAATTCCATAGGAAAAAAGAGGTAGCATCCTAGTGGTTAGGGTACTTTGCTTGAGGCTACAGAATACTGAGGTTCACATCCCTCTTCTGCCCAGTTCCTTGCAGGAGCAGATACCTGGGTCTTGCACATCCTACACTAGTGAACTTTCAGCTTGTCTAAGAATCAGTCTTTGTCTAGCTTTGCTCTAATGATCATATATTTAATGATAAAAATTGAAAAAATCTAACAGGAGTAATTAAGACTTAAATGGACCATCATTTTTTAACACAAAAATTGTCAAAGAACTTGATCAGATATAAATAAAGAGAATTAGTGAAGTAGTTTTAGAGGAGAGGGGAAATTAGCACAGTATCTCATACTTTGTGAAGGATAATTTAATTTGCATACAAACTTCTCAAAGCATATGGAATTAGCAGGTCCATTTTCACACATTGCCTATAAAAGATACCATATTCTCCCCTTATTTCAGGTTTATAAATAGTTTTGCACAGTCTTGTCACTGTAAGTATCTTAGTATATAGACAAAGCAATGTATGTAGTGTAGTGTGTGCCTTTGTAAATACAGCTTATTCCAGCATCCCAAGCAAGATAAATTGTAGGGACAAAGCCATGCTTTTGCGTGGGCACTTGAGACTCATCCTGCGTGCAGTTACAGCTGTGTTGGTTGCAAGCACACTATTGCAAAATCTCTATTGCAGACATGGCTTCAGGCATGCCTTTCATACTGTTTCCCCATTATTTGGCTTATATGGAGTGAAGCATTTTAAAAGAGAAAGTAGATCTTTAAAAAAAAAAAAGCAACTTTCAATAAAGAAGGCTTGTTTGGCATATCTGTATGGGTTTGTTGTTTCTGAGACCCACACTGCGCTGTTACATGATGGAAGACATTTGACTGTAGAGGTAGGGGAGAGATACATTGCAGGAGAGCTCAGAAACACCCTCACAGCCGGTGTCTTTCTCCCCAGGAGTACGAGTTCACGGTGCTGCCCAACGCCTACATGATCCACATGCCGCACGCCCCCAGCTTCGACATCACCAAGTTTCGCTCCAACAAGCAATACCGTATCTGTCTCAAGACCCTGAAGGAGGAGTTCCAGCAGGATATGTCGCGCCACTACGGCTTTGCAGCCCTCAAATATCTCACGGCAGAGAACAACAGCTAGCACAACGGAGCCCGTGGGCGGGAAACAGGGACACCGGAGGGAGGAGCCACTCAACTTTTGGGGCCTGGGCTTCAAACTTCAGACTGAGAAACACTTTCTGTTTTTATATCATACTCGGCAGTTCTAACAGTAGAAATTTGAAGTGACATGTCTTCAGACTATGCTCGTTTGTCCCTTCCCCGATTATCCCAGGCCTTTCAGCTTTAGGATTCATGAGGTGTCAGCGAGAGGGGCCAGCCAGGCACCCGCCATGCTGCCGGCAGTGGGGACTGACAGGGCCTGGGAATGCACTCTGCTCTCTTAACTGCAGAGCCAAGACAGACCTTCACAATATAGGATTTCATGTTGCTATTTAATAATTTGACATGCTTTTTATCTGTAAAGGAAGATCTTCGGGTCGCTGTCCTGTGAATTTCAAATCTGCACTACTCTGAAAGGGAACTTTCACCTGTGAACTTTCACAGGGGCCCTCTTAACATGGATGACCTTGTTAATGCAGGATGAGCCAAAGGTCTGAATTAGCCTTGAAAACGAAGGGGACGCTTTTACAATACTGCACTCTAGAGAAGGTGTGTTACTGGTTTAGGTGTATACATGATATTGGTTGGTCTTCTATTCTCAAATTAGTTGTTTTATCAGGAAAATCCCCTATACTCCACCCTGCCTTTTTCCCAATCCTAAATGCTGCTCCTTTCCTTGCCAAGGAAAAGTCTCCCTTGTGTTTCTTTCCCATCTTCAGTTCTGGTGGTCCAGTAAAAAAGATCAGTAGCTCTGCCAGAAAGTGAACAAAACTTGTCAGTGTAAGGTCTGTTTTCACCAGAGCAACTTGTCCTTGTGTGTCTCGTAAAATAAAGGGCCTGGCTGTCACTCTCTGTCTTTTCTAGGCAAGAATTGGATTTTGCCTATAAGGCACATTGAGTGGGGGGATATTGATTTGTAGGCTCATTTCAGTGCATGCCCATCCATGAAGGCATTGGGCCTTGGGCTTTAAGTGGACTTCTTTGCTGAACAGGGAATATAAACATGGCAACTAGTAGCCTTGGTGCTCTCCTGCTTCCTGCTGCAAGGTTTCAGAACTACTTCGTTAAAGGAGTTTATAATTAAAAGGAGCAGAACTGTTAGGAATAAACTCTCCCCTTTTGAGGGGGAGAAAAGAATGTGTTGGGAATCTTGAGTGTGAGTGTTTGCTTGAACATGGGCTGGTCAAGTTCACAACTTCAGTACACACAGGAGTATGCTGGAGGGCGGACAGGAAACCTAACAAGCAAAATGCAGAAAACAAGACACTGGACTTTTTACCATTTTCTTTATTCTTCAGTATTAATGTTGTGTTTACATGGGATGAAGAGATGAGGTTTAATGCACTACCCCTTGCAGGGCTATTTGTAATTTCTGTTGCAATGTTAATAGAGAAAACAGAAACAACTCAGTGAGAAATGCGTCTGTCTTCCTACCCCAGATCCCCATACAACCACACGTACCAATACCACTGCCCTGCCTGAGTTGGGAAATGGATCCACATTGCGTTCTGCTCACTTTTTTTCCATTTTGTTTTTCAGCCACTGGACCTTCTACTTTCCTCCCCACCTCATCCCTCTAGAGCTTGGTTTTATTTCTAACCTGACATTTCGTGAGAGCTTTCTGTTACGGTGGAAACCACGCTGTTAAACCAGACATTTAAACTACAAATATCAGTTCATCATGCTGTGTATATATAAGAAAAGCCAAAAAAGGCAACATCTTTGACCAGAAATAAAAAAGGGCGGGAGGCTATGTGTAATTTTTACTTTTTCCCCTGGGAGTGTTGGCTGCATAAGAATACATCACTGCGTAATTTTCCGAAGTGCTTTTCTTCTATTCTTAATGACTTTATGTAAAGATTTACATAAAAAACTGGGAAGAGCTGGGAAGAAGTGAAATGAGTGCTGAGTCCTGGCTAAGATACATTCTTTTAAAAAACCCAAAATCTTAACTCCCCCAGTCCTGTATTACTCACCATTAAGGGCCCAGGTCACTGTGCATATTGAGAATGAGAAGAACCCTGTGGCACAGAGTCCTGTTGGTTAGCTAATGTGCAGAAAGATACCAAAAGCTGATCCTAAAGTAGGCTAACACTGGTTGTACCTACATAAAATCTCTAGGCAGAGCTTCAGTGTAGCCACCATTATGTTTCATCTGTATTAAAACCTGTCATTTCCAGATGTACATTTCTCCTTGGCTTAACAATATTGCCCAAGGACGGACTGGATTGCCCTGCAGCACCATAACCTGTAGCATGGACCTGTGTATTGTTTGGATGTGCCATTATCAACATGAACATTATTCTCTCCTCGGTGGTCATGAGATGCAGACGGGGGAGCAGGGAGGTAATCATTTGCTACTGGCCTGTCTGTACAGCGAGTTGTGGGACCTCCAGGGTAGGCTTAGGTGTGCTGGCTGGTGTGACCAGCTCTAAGATTGGTAGTAGGTTCAGAGAGCCCCCTTTTTTTACCCTTACAGACGCTGTACTGACTTGTATTTATCATGTCATGTTTATCTATGTGCTTCATAGTTTGGGAAGTGTGGGGCTTGGGTTTTTTTAATGCATTTCAGCCAATTTACATGATAGCAAATTAGGATTACATGTCTGTAACTACCAGAGCTCTTCCAACACCGTGAAAAAAACACCACCGACAACAACAAAAATCCCCAACTCAGTTATAACGCTGTCTTCCAGTCCTCTGCTGTAGTATGTATTTGCTAGCAACTTTGTTACTTAATTCTCAGTTTTCTCCTGAAATCTTCAAGAAATATCAGATAAACCTGGTGACTTAATGCCTTTGATTTATTGATTTGTTCCACCAGCTTCTCTCTTGAGTCTGCAGTCTATGACCTCTCCTTATCTTTGATATTTGGAAAGTGTGAGTCTCTCATTTAGATATCAATCCAGCACCCTCTCTAGTGAAGAATGATGCAAATAAATCATTTAGATTCTTGGCAATGTCCTTATTGTCTTTAATTGTTTCTTCTACTTACTGTTTGGGGTGGCCTCCTGGTTATCTCCGGTTTTCTGCTTTTGGTGTACTGAGAAAATGTGTATTTCAGTTTTAACTTTCTACTGTTTGCTCTTCAGATTCCCTCTTAGCTTGCTCAAAATCCATCTTAACTATTACATACCTTCCTTTCAGCTTTACAAAGTTTTGAGTTCCATTCTCTGAAGGTTTCCTATTTGGCCTGAATAACTTCTAAAATTTCCAATTTAGTCATACCAGCTTTTCCTTGTCCTTGTCTTCCATTTATCTAAGGGGATACCATACTCCATGGCTATTTATAAGCCCTTTCCATGTTTAATCTGAGGATTTTTCTTTTCTTTTTATTTAGGGCCACTGATTCTTTCTTTGAAAGGAAAAAGAGAGTTTTGATTTAAAATTTTTATATCAAATATCACCCAACTAGTTTTTGAGGGTCTATGTTTTCCTCTTTAACCTTCCTAAATGCTAACCTTTTCCTATTCAAGGGATCAGAAATAAAATCTTACAAAATTCTTTTCTTCTTCTAATTTGGGCTCTTGACACATTTTGTTCTGTGTCTCCCTTTCCTCCCTCCACTCCAAAACATTGACACATACAAGTCACTGCAAACTTTTCAGTCCTAGAGCCTGAACTATGTATTTCCCAGCACCTTCTGACATCCCACCACATTTCAGACTTAATTATTATTCCAAATAATAATCTACTGGCTGGCACCCCATCCTCTTTTTTTTTTTTTTTTTAATGCTTCTCCCTTTGATATAATAGGCTTTGCAAGTTTTAAGGTTTTGGGCAAAGCATTTGCCTTTATTTAATGCCTTATTGCAACCCTCTAATATGTTTCCATGATTTCTCTCTGTTGTCACAGTATATACTTTCAAATGTTTGGCTGTAGTTTCCATCCTATCATTTTCTGGCAAAGGGTCATCTAACATTTGCCTACCTGGCAGACCTAGAAAATGTCTTTATTTATCCCAAATAGTCCTTAGTATCTATCAGATTTTTTTCCAGGTCCTACTTTTAGTAATTCCTTCCAACCTTGCTAGTTTCCTATGTGAGCAATCTGGTTCCACTTCATAATTTGTGATTTTTTTTCTATTTGTAATCATCATCTTGGACTCCCTGACATAAAGTAATTAGCAGCTGTACCCACAGTTCCATCGCTCTTGTTAGACCGAGTATCACGTATGCTCACATTATTCTTAAAGTACTGATTTTTTTTTACCTGGTAGGCTTCATGTGGTTTGTGTGTAAATCATAAACTGCATTTTCCTTTTACTGCAACAAGCAGAGGCACTTTGTAGTATTATTTGCAGTAGCTGTTGCAGCAGCGTAAGCCCCGTGTTAGAGGGAAAAGCACAAAAACCTTGTCAGAATTGCAGCTGGTGTTTCTCTCCGCAGGGGGAAATAAGGCCCTAGCACAGCTGAACGGTTTTATAAATGTCCTGCACAAAACACATTGCACATTATTTTCTGGTAGGTATAATCGTGCATCGTCCAATTAAATATGAAAAATACATTTTTAATGTTCTCATTTTTAGATGCGATTCTATCCAGAAGATAATGCATTTCTTTCTGCATCTTGCCAGTTTCCCCCATTACTCCAGCCTGCCTAATAGCCCCATCTGGTTTTGGCTGAGAAAGATTAATGACCAGCAGCACTGGGAGTCCTGGCAAATCAGCAGAGATATTACTCTTAGGCATTGCACAGGACATTCCTTTCTGCTCTGCCAGATACTGTATGGTGTTCCTCACGTTTCAGTGCAGCAACAAGAGAACACGGCAAGCTCAACAAATGGGGTGAGCATCATTATTTATGAACTTCAACAAGGTCTAATACATTAGAGGGTGGGAGTGCTATAAAAAGAATGTATCACTGTTAGCTAAAAATTATTTCAATTTTAGGAAAAGAAAGCAGCTAAGTTTCTGCAACTCCAGTAAGTGAGACTGGAACAAATAAGTCGCTCGTAGACAATGACAGCAAATAACCTAGTATTTCCACTGTGCTATTGAAAATGCAGAAGCATTGATAGCAAAATGAAGTCATTTTTACAATAGTAAGTCATAATATATATTTAGATGGTGTGTTTACGTCCAGACACTTAGGTGAATTGGGAATCTTTGAAGATTGTTACTTTAGATCACAATATTAAAGTGTTTGGAAAAGCTTCTGACTGTGCACAGCAAATTATGGCTCAGGAAATGCTTACAAACCTGGATTTAGAAATAACTTGCTTTTATAGGGATTTGTTTTCATCAATAGTTATACATTCCCAAAATAAGACACAAAGTCCTTGAGAATTTCAAAAGGAGCTATGTACGTGTCAGTTGGCTGGAACGTTTTCCTCTTACGACTACTTGGGATTTGGGGTTTGTTT